GGAAGGACAGCCGAGAAAGACAGGGAGAGCAAGGGAGCACACTCACCTTTCCCAGCCCTGACTCTGACCACCGGGGTCTGGGGTCTGTGCAGCTAGTCCACAGTTCCCAAACTGAGCCTCCTTCAGTTTGGGTGGCTGCAGAGCTGGCTAGAGCCCAGAAGTTACCCTTTTGGGCCAGGATCTCCTCTGGCTGCATGCTAGGAACATGGTCCCAGGTTCTGCAAAATGTTTCCACTCATAGCCTGCACAAATTAGAGTTCTGGGGCTACAAGCTGCTCAAGTCTGACACCCAAAGCTGACCAGCCGAAAGCCAGTCCTGGCCACTCCAGGGATGGGCACACTTCCAGAGCCAAGCCCCACTCCAGATCCCAAGACAGGCAGCCAGGACTGCTCTCCCTGCAGTGTCCAGGGTCAGGACACTGGCCTAGGCAAGATAAAAATTAATCCCCTCCCCATGGGATCCTAGAAACCAGGCACCTGGGCCTATAGCAGCCAGGCACTGCCCTTCCAGGATGACATGGGGCTGGGAACAGGGCTTATGCTTCTGCTGGCTTAGTGGACAGCCAAACTGAAGCTGTGGAGTCCCTGGACCTGAGAACAGGCCTCCCACTAGGCCCTGACAGGTGTCTGCCTCCCCCACCCATGATTACACAACCCAGTTGGACCAAAGGAAGCTGGGGCCCCTGCACCCAGACCACCCAGCTCAGCCTGTCTGTACCTCACCTCAACCAGTGCCCTGAGCTCCTGGAGCAGAACCTACCTGCTTCCCTCCCCTCACCCCAGCCAGCACTCACGTTGGGTGAGGGCTCCAGCATGTTGTCCCCATGCCAGCCGGAGATGGGCACAAAGGGCACTGTGGCTGGGTTGTAGCCAATCTTCTTGATGTAGGCGCTGACCTCCTTGACAATCTCATCATAGCGCTTCTCACTGTAGGCCGGCTCTGTGGAGTCCATCTTGTTGACACCCACGATGAGCTGCTTCACCCCCAGGGTGTAGGCCAGCAGTGCGTGCTCCCGGGTCTGTCCATTCTTGGAGATGCCGGCTTCAAACTCACCCACACCTGCTGCCACGATCAGCACCGCACAGTCCGCCTGCCAGGCAGGTGGGGCACAGTGAGCACCGGGTCCCACCACCCGTGGGAAGGATCCTGACCAGTCCTGCTGGTTATGGAGACTAGGGGTGTCCACCTCAGTTGCAGGGTGCTGTTAGGGGTTTTGTTCACCAGGATCTACATCAAGGAAGCTCTTGTTCTGGGCACCTGCTCTGCCACAGCAGCCTATGTGACTCTGGCCAAGTCACCACACCTCTTTGGGTCTGTCTGTGTGAACGCCCGGGAAATGTCTGACTGTCCAGTCTGACTGTCTGCCCATGCCTAGCCATAACCATGCATCTGTCTATGCAGGCCATGCCACTGTATCCACAGTGTCCCAAATGATGGCCCTGACAGACAGTAGCTGAGCAGCCTCGCAGGCACTCCTGCCTGGCTGAAGTATCAGTAACTCAGTTCTTCAGGCATGTCTGGGCCAGGCAGGGCACAGGATGACCAAGCCAATGGGTCCCCTGCCCTGGCCCTGATGTCACTAGAAGGGTTCGTACCCACCCACCTGGGATGTGCCGGTGATCATGTTCTTGATGAAGTCCCGGTGGCCCGGGGCGTCAATGATGGTGATGTAGTACTTGGTGGTCTCAAACTTCCAGAGGGAGATGTCGATGGTGATGCCGCGCTCCCGCTCCGCCTTCAGCTTGTCCAGCACCCAGGCGTACTTGAAGGAGCCCTTCCCCATCTGGAGGGCAGGGCATGACTCAGATTAGGACCCAGGCTCAGCAGTCTGCTTGCCAGGGCTGCTATGGGGCTGAGGGGCAACCAGTGAGGGGTGCGGCTCCCACTCCCTTGCTCCCCTCTGAGGTCCTGATTCTGACCCATCACTCTGACACGGGTGGTACTGACACCTGACAGGTCCCAGGCTGTCTACACAATGCCCAGGGCCAGCCTCTCACCCGTTCCTAAATGGCCGCGAATGCACATGTCCACCAGCAGGTGGCATGAGGGCCTGGAAGCGACCCCACGTGATTAAGCCCCTCTCCCAGGGCAAGGGCTCCCCTTTATTAGCCACTGGGCTTTAGGCTGTCACATAAAAACTCCTGTGTTATTTTCCTTCAAGATGAAAGAAAAAAGGAGTCAAATGAGGTTACAAGGAGGGCCTGGCTTTCTAGCTGTTTCTGTACCCTATGATGGCAAGGCGATAACCCTGAGATAGCTCTGTTCCCATCTCCACCAGAGCGGGAGGCAGGTGTCTCCCAAGAGCAAGGGTGGCCACTCTCTGGAATTACCTGGGTTTGGAGTCTCGGGAGACCCCCACAGCCTGGGTCAGGACAGTGACCTCTGCCCTTTACGGAGCCTGCCCAAGCTGGAGGGGCTACCCTAGCTGGGACCTGGCCTTGGCACCCCTCAACCCTTCGGCCTCCTCCCTCTCCCACTATAAAGGCAGAGGTGCAGCTTTGATCCTAGGCACACATAGCAGCCCCCGTTCCCGCTGAAGCAGAAGTTCACCCCGGGACACCAGCTGTACCCCTAAGCCGGTGCCACAGATCCCCTCATCCACAGCCAACCGAGCTCAGGCCACCCAGGCCCTTCCAAGTGGGCTTCTCTCAGAGCCCAGGGACAGGGGGAAGGACAGAGAGCAGACCCCACTCATGGCTACTTTCCACCCATGAGTCTTGGCTACAAAGAAAGAAGGCAGCCACCAGAACCCCCATCCCAGGGCACCACCCGAGATGAGCAGCTCTCCCCAGCCTCGCTCCAGAAAATGGAGCTGGCAGGCAAGCTGTCCATCAATCAGCTATTAATAGCAGCCATGAGCCCTGGCCCAGCCCTGGGACAAGTGAGGGCAGCGTCACCTCCAGCACCAGCTGGAGGGTCAGGGGACACAGCTCCAAGGCCTTCTAGCCCTGGCCCACCATGGCAGAGTCCAGACCTTGCTGTGACCATCTTTCAGGTCCCTTCCTCCACCACAGGCAAACCTGGCAGCTCCATACCACCCCCACCAAGCACAATCTCAGAAAGAGATTGCCCTCTTCGCCCCCACTCCACCAGCACCTGTCATCAGGATCCCAAGTCATGCACTCCCCTTGTTCTGAAGGAGGTAAACTGAGCCCCACACTCAGGGCTCAGGCAAGCGGCAGCCCCAGCACCAGCCTGGGTGCCACATGGAGGCACATCTTGGGGCTCAGGGGGCTCACCTCAGCAGCCTCCTTCTCGAACTTCTCGATGGTCCTCTTGTCGATGCCCCCACATTTGTAGATGAGATGACCCGTCGTGGTGGACTTGCCTGAGTCCACGTGGCCAATGACCACGATGTTGATGTGTGTCTTCTCCTTGCCCATTCTGCCCGGGTGGGGGAGGGGCTGGCACCAGGGGGCTCTGGTTGGGGTGGGGGTGCTAAACAGGGATTCTGTGGGGTCAGTGATGGGGGAGATAGCCAATGAGAAGGCTTGGGGGAGCCCATCTGGCACAATTGGAAGCCCATCTGCTCAGCCTTTGCCTTAGGGTTCTGGGCCCAGCCCCCCACTGGGTCCCTCCCAAGCCTAGACCTGTCCTAACCAAACTAGATGCCAGTTCGGGCCGCATGATCCCCCACGCCACCACCTATGAGTCCAAGCAGTGGGTCTGCTGTAAATGCTGGGCACTGACCCCAGAAGCCCCCATCCCCGCGGCAGGGTCAGTGGCCGTCTGGATGGCAAGGAGCAGCCGTTCAAGGCCCCATGAGCACGCAGCCAGGCGCGGAGGGTGAGTCACCAGCAAGGTCCCCGGTGCCCTGCCCTCCCAGTCTCCTGCCGCCGGCACCCACTGAGGTTGCACCCCACGGCCCCACCCGCCCACTGCCGTCCCCCGGGGGACGCGGGCGCCATCTTCCTCTCATGCCCACCCGCGGGCTGGCACTGAGCGCGGGGACGCGGCGCCCAGGGCCCAGAATAGCTCTGGCTTCCACCTATCTGAGCCTGACCGACGGCATCGCCAGGAGGTGGAGGTCCTGTTCCGGCCGAAGGAGGAAGGGTGCCTCCAGGCCGTCCCAGCAAGTGCCCAAGGAGCTGCCCCCAGCTGGGCAAGGGGACCCGCCCCACCCGTCCAACCCCGCGCCAGGTCAGCGTGGAAAGCCTGGCGGCCCGCAGCGGACAGGCAGCCCGGGATGGGGGGAAGCCGGGCGCGAGCCCCCGACTCACCCTCTCCCGACCCCTCCTCTGCGCTCCGAGGCCGCGTTCCCAGGCGCCCCCAGCGCCCGACCCACCGGCCCAGCACTGGCGACGCCGCCAGACCCGCAGGACCTGGGCTGCGCCAAGGTCACAGCGGCGGCACTGCGCTCCGGGACCCGGTGCGGCCGCGTAAACAAGCGCTGCTCGCGGGGTCCTCCGAGCGCACCGCTCCCCCTGGGTCCCCCCGGACCTCCCCGGAAGCGGCGAGCACAGCCCCAGCCCGGCGGCGCAGCGCGGAGCTCTCCGCCCCGGGACCGGCCGGGGAAGGGTCCCTCTGCGGGAAGCGGAGCGAGGGCCCAGGCCACGTCCTTACCCGGAGCCGCGGTCTCAGGCAGAGGGACTGGCGGCGCCGGCGCCGCAGTTTTATCTCCGGGAGGGGGTCCACCTATTGACGGTGCGGCGCAGTGCACTGCGCCCCTGCAGTACGGCAATGCGGTACCGGCGGGGAGGGCGGGGCCGGCAGCGCGGGGACGCGGGATGCGGGGCGCGCACCCACGGACGCGCGGGCGGGCGCGACGCGGCGCCAGGGGATGCGGCGAGGGAGCGAGCGGCAAGGGCGCCGGAGCCGAGCGAGCACGGACGCGGGAGCAGAGCGGGCAGAACAGCCGGGAGCTGGGGGCAGGGCAGGGCGCAGAGGGCGAGGGCCAGGATAGAGAGGCGGCCAGATAGGCACAGGCCACGGGGGGGTGGGGGGTGGGGGCTCCGCGACAGAGAGGCCCTTGGAGAGCAGAAGAGACACATTTAACACAAAAAGACATTCCTGGGAGGAGGACTCGGGCACAGGACCCGTCAGGTGGGGGAGGGGAGATAGGCTGGGGGTGCTGAGGACCACCTAGCCCATGTCTGTCTAAAGGTCCTTAAGGCCCCAAACTCTGCTCTGAGGAGCTCTCCCTAGTGTGGTCCCGGTGCAGGGACACCTGTCCTCCTTGCCTGTATTATGGCTCTGTGGTCAGCACATCCAAAGGGCAGCCAGCCCCTCAGTGCCCTCCAAAAGAGCCTGCTCTGCTCTCTAGGGGTAGGAAATGCTTGAGACCCCTCAGAGCTGCTGTGCCCTTCCAGGTGACTGTGTGGTACAGCAGATCCAGAGCCTAGTCCCTGGCCCACTGTCTGCCAGGCTGAACCCCCGGCCTGCTCCACTCCTGGAGGTTCTTGACAGACTAGGGTCCCTGAAGCAGTCTTTAGGGAGGGGGTCGTGGTAGCCGTGTGTCATGCGAAAACCAAGGTCCAGAGGTTCCCCGGGACCCGGTCTGCCATCTCCCCCAGGCATTCCCACTGTCCCCCTCCCACCCCACCACCCACCTGCCTTGGCACTTTGTCACTGCAGGGAGGATAAGTCAGGCAGGGCACCAGGGGCCTCAGAGCTGTGCATTGAGCTGTGATGGCTGCCCGTCCCCTCCCCCAGACACAGAGGTGTAGGTCAAGGCCCTGTGCCTGTCCACAGAGCAGTGTCCACGAGGATCCCCCAGAGATGGGTTCCCCAGGTTCGCGGGCAGTGGGGGAGTGGATTCTCTCAGGCCCATGGGAGGGTCTTCCAGCAGAGAAAGGCCTTTTACACTAAGCAGAGGGAGGACAGGCCTCTGGGATGATCCAGCACTTCCGAGTGCTGCTGATACTGTCAACTGGGAGCCAGGAATTAAAAATAAATGCCTGGCGATGCAGCGAGAGGCACCGCCCCTCCCTGCCGAGCGGCTCTTTACCTCTCATGCCTCTCTCCCAGCCTGAAGGTTAGGCCGGCTTGTTACAGGTGCTGTGATTGGCCAGAGCAGGGTGGGCCAGAGGAAAGGAGGAGGGGTGGGGACCAGGACTGCTGCCAGCAGAGAAGACCCTGAGCCACCTTCAGCTTTGGAGTGGACACTTCCTCCCTCTGCAGCTCTGAGCAGTGCTCCCGGCCTCTGTGCAGGTTTAGATAGCAGTCGGTTGGGGAGGCCCAGAGCAGGGGCTAACTCTTGCTGGGGAAATGCACCCCAGGAATTGTCTCTGGTAGCAGGATGTGGCGGCGTCCTTGAAACACCTTGCACTGACCTTGGAGAGGGTGTCAGGGTGTCAGCAAGGACTCAGCATGTGCTGGAGAGACCCATGGTCAGCAGTAGAGAACGGAGTGCATAGAATGCGAATCTACATAAGGTAATGGTACTTGGTGAGAAGACCAAGCAGCTCCGGTGTTCACAGTACTAAGCAACTAACTCTCCAGTGACTCTAGCAACCACCACTCGTTGTCAGGACTTGTGATACTGATACTAAATAATCCCTAGCCCCTGCCTGATTACCTCTGTGATCTGAGTTTCCCCCAAGTTCACAAGCTGAAAACTTGCTCCCAGAGCTGCAGAATTGGGAAGATGGGCACTTGGGAGGCATCTGGATCCAGAGCCTCACCACCTCCACCTCGTAGAGGCCTGTGTGAGGGGTTCCTCTTGGCTGCCTGCCTCCCACTGAGGAATGGCGCTGGCACCATAGCCTTGCACTGCCTGACCTCCAGGGCCATGAACACTGTCTCTGTCAGTCCTGAGTCACCCGCTCACAGACATTCTGTTGTAGCAGCACAGAAGAGACTAACATGGCTACTAATTACTTGGTAGATAATAATACTTGATCTATTAAGTACTAAGTGATGCTGAATAACAGCCTTACATGCTAATTAGTAACAGTCACAGTTGCCAAGGACTGTAAGCTCACCCAGGCAGCAGTGCCATCTAGACAACGGGCCTGAGGCTCCTGTGACCCTAGGAGGCAGCTGGGCTGCATGAAGTCAAGTGTCCTGCCTAAGGTCAAACATCAAGTGGACAGCTCGAAAGGCGAAGTCCCCATGGAAGTCTGAGGTGGCCTGCGGCTATGCTCTGCCTCACCCCCTTGCCAGCCCTCTTTCTGCATCTGAGTCCCTGGTTGCTATGACCCAGGGAGTTGCCACGCATTAGGGTTGGGAGAAGCCAACCAGAGCTCCCTCTGGGAAGCAAGGCTATAAGCTATCCCCTCCTCAGCCCCCTCCTGGAGCCCTCATCAGACTGTTTGGGGAGACACAGGCAGCTCCCCTGTCCCCTCGCCCCCACCAGTTGGAGTTTCTTTAGCCTTGGGAGTGAAGACCCAGCTAAAATTAACCATTCTCAAGCTGTCAGCCCTGGAAATAAAACTGCCTCCCATTGGCTGCTGGTGATGTCACTGTCAGGTTAATAATAGCCTGTGAATGCATAGCTAACCACCTGTGCCTGTGCCTCCCGAAGCCTCAGCCTGGTGGCACCCTGGGAGCCGCTGCCCCACAGGTGGAGCCATCAACCCAGATGGGCTGTGGCCGGGACTGGGATGTCCTGGGGACTGGGATGTCCTGGGGAGGATCAGGCTGGTGTCCCTGACTTGCCCTGGCTGGACCATCACTGCCTTGAGACCGCAGAGTGCCGCTCTGCCAGCCTTCCTTAGCCGCAGGGACCCATGCGGCAGCCTCTGAGGCTGGCTCTCAAGGCAGGGTACCCAGGGGACCAAGCCAGCCCTTGAGGAAGCAAACTGAACTGTCCACCTGGTAAGGGAAGTGCTCTTGGCAGTGCAGCTTCCCTTAGAAAAGCAAGGTCACATCTTCCCGAATCAGAAGAGCTGCGGTGGGGGCAGGCAACAGGCAGGCCAGGCCAGTTGGAGCAGCCAGGCTGGGTCTCACCAGAGTCTGCCCAAACCAGCAGCCTGCAGGGAGCCGTTGCCATGGTGAGAGGCAGCTTGCTGGCAGGCAGGTCCTCCCTGACACCTCCTCCTCTGACAGTGGGAGGTGCTGCCCTGCTGCTTTCTCCCTCCAGCCACGCAGGGAGGGCGCGAGCTTCTGCAGGGCTGGGGACCCCACTTAGCCCGCTGCAGGCTGAGGCTGGGGCAGACAGGACATAGTGTCTCTGAGTGGGAGAGGTCAACCTCTCAGACTCAAGGAGGGCAGCTCCTGAGCCACAGGGCACCGCAGCACCCAGAGAGGACGCGTCTTTCTGTCCAGGTCCAGCAGAGGACAAGGGCAGCCCCTCAGGGCTCACCGGGAGCAGAGCCATCCAAGGCAAGTTGGGAGAGGTTCCCACAGCCCCTGCCCTGGGCCTGTCTCCCTTACTGCACACTTGGCCTTAGGTTCCCAGGGGGGGTAGGGAAGAGGGGAGGGGGGTCTGAGGCTCCTTAGGGAGTTTTCCAAAAGCTCCCCTTCTTGGGGTGATCTAGGATGTGCTACAGAGGAGGCTCCTGCCCAGTCAGCTGGACCGGACCCAGAGGCCAGCTATGTAGAAAGATTCCCCATGCCACCAACCACTAAGAGGAAAAGGGGAGCACATGCGCCTTTGCCCTTTCCAAGCCGGGGGGTTGAGCATGGTAGAAGGTGTTCTCCTACCTCAGTCAGTTACCATAGCTACTAGAAAGTGCCGGGGAGCCCCACCCCAACCAGGAGACACGGATCTGGCCTTTTTCCTTGACTGTGGGTTGAATTTCCTCTCATTCTGAGTCTAACTGAATCGGAACACCATGCTGAGGCTCTGGATTCTGTTACTTCCTTGGAAAGAGGTTGGCTGTCATGTTAGCAGGCCACTCAGCCACGGGCCTGTGTGAACGTGGCTCATGCTGTTGTGAGAGTCTGTGTGCAAGGGACAAGGTGGCTTCTGAGCCCCTCAAACCTGGTAGTGTTCAGCCCTCAAGCCTGGTTTCCTCTGCAGGTCTCTACTGGGCTTGGTTTGAACTTTGTCAGATGGGTCTGGAGAAGGCATTACAGTAAATCAAAGTCCTTTCTCCAAAAATAATAACAATAAGGAAGCCAGTACATGCTGACCAGGCCCATTGCTGCCCAGCACTGCATCACCCCTAGCTTTTGCTCTACTCTAACTTGTGGTGGACTCCATGTGAGGTGACCCCCCATGACTCCCACCCCCCACACCAAGGGAGCCTATGACTGGCATTACTCCTGTGAGAGGCTCACATTACCAAGACTGTCCTGGCAGATGGGGCAGCGGATGGGATGCTCCTGCCCAGTGTGAGAATCTCAGCAGGGTCTGGGGCTGCCAGCCAACAAGAAATTCTGCCAAAAACTATGTGACCTACCAAGAGGACCCCAAGCTTCAGGAAGAAGCCACAGTCCTTGATTGTGCCCTTTTGAGACCATGACCAACCTAAGTGAATCCATACTGGACTCTGGACCATGCAAATTGATTAACAAAGCAACACTGTACTTTAAAGCAAGCAGATATGGCAATCATGCCAGACTCCAGGAAGTTGAGGCAAGAGGATCACTGAGAGTTCAAGGCCAGCCACAACTATATAGAAAGACCCTGTCTCAAAAGATAAATAAAGCCACTAACACTGGAGGGCTGGACTGCCTCTCTGTACAGCCTCAGCACTTTAGCAACTTAGCAAAACCCTGACTCAATAAAATAAAATGGAATATAACACAACACAAAGCGGGGATGAGTTCAGTGTAGCTCAGTGCAAAGGCCCTGGAAGCACTTACCACAAAAAAAGAAAAAGCCACTCCGTGTGTCAACATGCTATGCCCCAAGGCAGGGCCTGGCCAGCAGCTGCTCTGCTAATGCCCAGAGCCAGCACTGAGCCCCTGCACCCCAGCCTGTGCCCTGCCTGGACCGCCATGCTCTGCTTTGCCACCTGCAGGACCATGCTGGGGACCCACCTGCAGGTGCTGTCCCCAGCTCCACCAGTGCAATCACTGTTTCCCTCTGTAATCATCCTGTGTCTTCCCAGCTGGTCTCAGGATTCATACTCCCCGCAGTTGGGCGGGATCCCACCCTCCACCCCTCCCCAAATCGACTTCCTAAGTCTTCCAGCAGGTGTGAGGAGGCAGCTCTAAGCGGTTTTGATTTGTATTTCCTTGGTGACTAATGATACTGAACATCTTTCATGTGCTTATTGGCCATTTTTTTAAAAAATCTTCTTTGCAGAAATGTCTATTCAAATCTTTGACTGATTTTAGATTGCATTTTGGGGCCCTCCCCCTTTGTACTACTTGTGATTGACCCAGGGCTTTTGCACTGAACTACATACTCCACACTTTTTGTTGTTTATTTGTTTGTCTGAAGCAGAGTCTCGCCATGTAGTCCAGGCTGCACTTGAACTCACTGTGTGGCCCAGGCCAGCCTTCCTGCCTCAGCCTTCTGAGCGCTGGAGTTACGGTCAGGCACTAACCCATCTGGCCCCACCCTTTTTAAATTTTGAGACAGTGTCTTGCTAAAACGCTAAGTTGCCCAGGCTGGGCTCAAGTTTGTCATTCCCCCACCTCAGTTTCCCACGTGCTGAGATCTCAGATGGGGGCCACAGTGCCCTGCTGACTTCATGCGTTTTCACCTTGCCAACATCACGCTGCGTTAAATTGCTGCTCTATACCAAGTCCGAAGATCAGCTCTACGTGAGAGGAATAATGCGGGGAAGACTGTCCGCATGCAAAAGAAGCTACTAGGATTCTCACTGCACACTGTGTATTTTAAAAAACAACTAGAAATGGATCAAAGAGCTAATAAAGCTATGAAGTTGTTAGAAGAAAGAAGAAAACACAGGCATAAATCTTCATGACCTTCAGTTTGTCAATGAAGCCAGACAGCAAAGGTCACTGAGTATGATTTGATGTGTACACAATATCCAGAAAAGATATCCAGATCGGGGAGTGCCAGAGGCTGGGAGCCGGGAATGGACCGGGATTCCTCTGGGTGAGGGGAGTGCCCTGCAGCTCCACTGAGGTGACATGTAAATGTACTGCAAGGTGTCTGAATCGCACAGTCGGAATGGTGGATTTTATTTCAGTTTTAGAATTGGAAAAGTAGGGCCAAGGATATAGCTCAGTGGCAAAAATACACGCCTGGCAAGCATGCACTTGTGAATTTGACCCCCAGTACTCCCCCCAAAAAAATTGGAAAAGTGCAATTTCCCTATATTCTTTCTTTTGTTTTTTGTTTTTGAAAGGGTTGCTGGCCCAGGCCGGATACTGTAGCCGGTAAAGCCAAGGAGCTCCTATCTCCCCCCAGCCTTAAGAATTACCTCTGGCACCAAACTAAGACCAATGGGCTACCTGTGCATCCCTAATGCCCCCTTGGGTTCCACCCCAGGCCGAGGCTACTTATGTGCCTCACTCCACGTGTTCCACGGAGAGATCGCCGGCCCCGGGGTGGAGATGCCACGCCCCAGGGGGTCGGGGGTGTCTCCCTGCATTCCCAAAATAAAGGTTACTTATATTTTACACTTCTTAGCTTTTCAGCCGCCGCCGGTCCTCCTCCTCTTCCTCCCCTCTACAGTTCTATCAGTTTTTTGAGACAGGGTCTTGCTATAGCCCCAGGCTGGCCTCCAACTCAGGCTGATCTTCCTGCCTCAGCCTCTCATGGCTGGAATTCCAGACAGGCAACTCCACACATGACTATATTCTTATTTTTTAAAATTGCTTTATGATTTTAGTTTGTTTATCTTTCCATCTTAATTTTAGGATCTACTGTCTTTTAAAAATCTGAGTTTTCCTTGAGATTACAGGAAACCTATAAATCAAGTCCCTGAGGGTGGAGAGGTCACAGTGCTGAGCCAGCAGCTCCTGGACACAGCCTGACACTCCAAGCACCCTGCCCCCTTCCTTTTTAATTAGCATGTCATTTAAATTATTTTCTCCTTGAGGCTGGGGATTTAGCTCAGCGGCATAAGCGCCTGCCTTGCAAGCAGGCAGTCGTGAGTTCGATCCCGGGTACTGATAAAAAGGAAAAAGACCAAAAAAAAAAAAAAAAAGATTATTTTCTTCTTTTGTCTGCTGCAAGGCTACAGAAATAAAATTCGTGTTTCTGTGTTGTCTGGCCGTCTGCCTAACCTCACCCACCCAGTGTGCCTCTCCCGCAGAGACACTGGGATTCTCTCCCTTCGGGTGGTCTGTGCACAGCAGCAGGCACTGTGTGCCTCTCACTCCATTCCATTGCTTTGTTTTGCTGACTAAGACTTCCCAAGATAATAGCAAGGGGTGAACATCTGTGCCCCACTCCTGGTCCGGGGCGGGGGGCTGTGGGGAGCACAGCGTCGCTCTGAATACAGTCTCTTTACTCAGCCAAAGCTGTTCTCTGCCGTTTCTGCCTTGCTGAGAGCCTTTAGCGTGCCTGGATACTGAATTTCAGACAAGGCTGACTCCCTCACTTGGTTTGATACAAATGTTCACAGCTCTTGGTTGGTGCCTTTTTGACAATAGCTGCTTTAAAATCTTTGCTGAATAACTCCAAAAGCTGTGTTACCAAAAGCAGTGTTTGCCTTGACTGCTTGTCACTGCAGTGTGAATTGAGATTTTCCTGATTTTTTTCTGCTGAGTAATGTTGGATTTTACCCTGAGGTTCAGTATTTTTGGTGCATAAACACTTCGTGACTGTTCAGTGGCTCTGGTTGAAATCCAGAGCACTGAGGCACTTGCTCCTCACAGGTCTGTGCAGATTTTCTGTTGTATTTGGTATGGGGTCTGTTGACCTCCTTTTTTTTTTTTTTTTGTCTTTTTCCTTTTTATCGGTACCGGGGATCAAACTCATGACTGCCTGCTTTTAAGGTAGGCGCTTAAGCTGCTGAGCTAAGCCCCCAGCCCTGGTTAGACTATTTCTAAAAGTGAAGACACTAACTTGTGCTAGGTACCTGTTGTGTGCCAGGCACTGGTCTGAGCACTACAAACACAAGGAAATGGAAGGACAGACAGGTGACCAGTCACCACTGCCCCAGGACTTCGTCTCACCACACGAAGCACCCACACAGGCAGAGTAAGCATTTGCTAGATATTAATTAGTGATCTTACTTTCTTCTACAGTGGATGTCACCATCTAAGAATCACCAGCTCCTGCTAGAGTCAGGGGGCTGCTGCTGCTCAGGGAAAAACAACCTTTGGTCCGGAGGCAAAGAGCAGCCAGCTGGCCCATCACGGTCATAGTCATGAACATGCACCTCCAGGAGCAGACCAAGGAGCTCCTACCTCAATCCCCAGGTACCTGCAGCTGGGGTAAAGCACAGTGACAGTGACACTCCCTGTTACTGGGTGTCCTAGTTATTTTCTAGTTGCTGAGACAAAATATCAGACACCCACAAGTTAAAGGAGGAAAGGTTTATTTGGCTCGCAGTTTGTAGAGGTTTCAGTCCATGGTTGGTGGCCCCAAGGGATGGGTGGCCTGGCAGAGGGCATCACAGAGGAGAGGGAGTTTTTGGCAGGGCAGGCAGGCAGCAGCAAACCTCCCTTTCCCTTTTACCCCTTCCAGGCTACAAACTTTTTGTGTGGTCCATGGTGGGGCTCTCATTATCCACACCCAGATCTGTGCTAAATCAATTTGATGCCCACTCCCTTTATCCTAGTGTCACACATCCAGGATCCAGCCACCGCCCCAAAGCCCCACCTGTGAGTGCATGAGGCCTTGGTGTGACACCTAGGTGGTCACAAACTGCGACCCTGATGACAGAGAGCCTGTGTGTGCAGGTCCCATCCAATCTAGAGAGGGAAAAGCTCAGCCATGGCAGGTGAGTGCTAAGCCTGGAGCTCAAGCCCCACCTTTCTCTTCCACCCTGCAGGAGGCCTGCAGCCACTGTCAGTCTTGGGCCAAATAAGGAAGGTGTCTCCTTTCCAGCAGAGATGGCCTGCCCATGTCCTGCCTGCCAGTGACTGTGTTTAGGCAGCAACTTAGGCCTGGCCAGCCTCTGTGCACTGTACAGGTGACAATCTCTCCCACCCCAGTGTGTTTCTTACTATGGGGAGAAACCTGTCTGTTCCTCGCTTCCGTGTCCTGAGCCAGCACCATGGCCTGCAGCCCCAACATGACTCCAAACACACTGCATGAAGGAAAAGAGGCTGAGCTCCTGCTGGGAGCTGCTGCGCTGCTGATCGTTACACATGCAGAGCAGAAACCACAACTGCGCACACAGGAGCACCTGGAAACCCCCTGAGGGCATGGGGTGCTGGAGGGGAACAGGTGCTCCAGCCCCAGAACGCTGGTTAAGCAAAGGGGTGTGACAAGGGTATTAATAACCGCATGGCAGTGGGTGAACGGTTGCTTGCTCCCTTCTGGGGATAGGACCTCGCCTGACCCCAGCTTTCTGTCTCTATTTTTTCATCTTCTCGTCTTCTTTCCCCTGGGAGCTCTCGTGGACTGACACTTAGCCTCCCTGCCACCATAGGTCCCTCTGTCTGCTGATGCCAGGAGCAGCAGAAGGCTGCCCTGCAGGCTGGCACAGCAAGGGAGAGGCCACATGGGTCCCCCTGGCCTGTGGCTCCCAGGCACCAGCCATGGCCCAGAGGAAGGTCAGCAGCATCTCAGCAGGACAGTGGCTTGGGTAGCCTCCCTGGGCACCCAGGAGCTGAGAAAGAGATGGGCGCCCACCCTGCAGCCAGGCGGAGCAGTCCCCATGGAGCGTTTCTCTGTCCCAGCAGGTCTCCATTCAGTATCCCCTTGCGTTGCTGTAGGGATGAGCCATGGAGCGCCACCTTCTGGGCACCTCTGTTTCCCCACTTTTAAAGAAAGAATGTCCTGAAACCAGGCATGGTGATGCATGCCTGTAGTCCCAGTAATTGGGAGGCTAAGGCAAGAGGATCCCTAGAGCCCAGTAATTCAAGGCCAACTTGGGCAACACAGACAGATTCTCACCTCAAAAGTAAAAAGGAAGGAAGGAAGGAAGGAAGGAAGGAAGGAAAGAAAAGAAAGACGGGGAAGCGAAGAAGGAAGACTTTCCCTCCAGACTCATTACTGAAGCTGTGACTGAGGTGAGGATGAGGTGGCTGGTTGCACTGGCCCCAGAGCCCAGCTGAGAAAAGCTGGGGGGGCTCCCCTGTGTCCTACTGGGGAGGCCATCCGATGGCTCCTACCATCAGCTCCTCCATGCACAGTCTTCCCCTCACTGGACAGGTGAAGAGCACACACAAAGGCAATGCTGGCCAGACCTGGTGTGGTCACCCTCACGCCCCCTTCCCAGGTATTGAGCCTTGATCAATACCTTGTACCCCAAACTCCAAGAGGACACCACATAGGAGGAGGCTGACCAGAGGTGTTCACAGCACCTCTGCAGGATTCCACACCTAGCCTGCCACTGTAGGGCCATGGGCTGGCCTCAGCCTGGCCCCAGAGGATGGTACTAAGATTATGCTTTGCCTCCAGGTCCTGAGGTGCTGAGGGCAGAGCTGTGTTCACCCAGTGAATGTACCCCAACACCTGACACACAGTGGGACCTGCTGGACAAATAGAGAATCAGCAGCATCAAGGCCAGAGCCAGCCCCGGGAAGAAGCCCTGGCAGCTTTGCCTCCCCTCCACTCCCCAGCCATGGAAGCCCCAGCTGGACTCCTTCTCCAGGCGACTGCCAGGGCCTGCTTGCTCTGCTCAGAGTCCTGAGGATGGCACTATCACAGGAGCCCAAGCTGGCTTTCCTCTGCATCTGCTCATGCTGCCCATGCAGCTGTGCCAGGAATCATGACAGGCAGCCTGTACTGCAGCCCTGGCCCCACCTACTGTGCTGTTCAGGTCATTCCAGGCTCCTGCAAAGCCCTGTGTGGTCAGGCCCTGGGCAAGCCCCGCGGTTGGCCTCTGATGTCTTGGCCTGATGATCCCTGGGATGCAGGGGACGGAGGGGTCAGTATCAGAGCTTGCAGCACAAGCATCTAAGAAACAAGCCTGGGTCCTGCCAGAAAGGTACACCCTTGGATATCACAAGATCTGACCAGTGTGCCCCAAGGTGACCCTCAATGGCCCTGCCCATGCCTCGCTGCACAGGTCCTGCTGTCCCCCCCTACCCCGCCCAGCCGCGCAGCCCTCTTGCTCTTGCCCAGCACCACTGCAGGCTGTGTCTCAGGTGCCCATGCATGCCATCCGCTCTGCCCCAAGGAAACCAGCTGCCACCTTGCCCCCTTGTCCCATCCAGCCTCTGGACTGGTCTCCCATATAGGGGCTGCTTTTAAGAAGGAGGTAGCAGGGCTGGGGGTTTAGCTCAGTGGCATAAGTACCTGCCTTGTAAGCAGGCGATCGTGAGTTCGATCCCCGGTATCAATAAAAATGAAAAAGACAAAAAAAAAAGGAGGTAGCATTGGAAGTCAACCCCAGGAGTGAGGGACTGGGGATTTAGCTCAGCGGCATAAGCACCTGCCTTGCAAGCATACACTGGGTGCCAACAAACTCAGCAGTGGACATGTGTGGAGGCCCCGTCAGAGACCCCTGGGCCTCAGGAGTCAAGGGGCATCTTCCAGGTCTAGCTGGGTTTTCCCTGAGCATCTGTGAAGAGGGTTGACACTGTTGGCCTCGTCCTAGGGAGGGGCACACAGCACCCAGCTGGCGCTGTGCCCTCCCGGCCTTCATAGGGATCATAGAGCAGCGTGGGGTTACAGGGCCTCTTGAGCCCCCTGTTTTTATTTCTTCATCTGAGCAGTGTCTATTCATTTGTGGTACCCATTTTTGGACTGTTTATCCTATACTCTATTGGAGCTGGGGGAGGCTTATCATTTATGCACTTGGCTTTCTTCTCTGTGCCTTGCCTGTCAGCTCTTTCTGTGGTCTCTTGGTTCAAGTCCCAGGGGTCTTTGGTGCCCGCTGCCTCAGGATGCCCTTGCCCTCCCCCATGCCTGCTGTAAAGCAGCCGACTCAGGGGCCTGGCTGAGCTCCTCTTTGGGCAGAGGGGAGTTGGGGATTGGAGAAGGAGGAGTAGTGGGCCCTGCAGGATGGACAGGAGGGCAAGCACTGGCTCCTGATGGTCAGGCAAGGGCACGGCTGGTCAGCCCTGAGCCTCAGGCGCCTGGAGAGAACGTTCTGGGGTCCCTCGGAACAAGAGTCTGGGACAGCAGAGCGTGCCTCGGCCTCTAGCTGCTGTGGAGACTGCCAAACAACAGCCCTATACCCTACCCCAACCTGCTGCCCCCAGAGGCATTGAGGGGGCAGGGCTGCCGCCCATGGCGCACCGGGCACAGGGAGCCGCTGCCGAGCAGAAGTCCTTGATTATCTCGAGTGGCAGTGGGCAGACCTGCGGCTGGGCGCGGGCGAGCAGCCCCGAGGGAGGTGACACAGACAGGAAGGCTTGGATTCCTTGGTTCCGATTCCGCACTGCACTGCGGTCAGTCGCCGGCGCCCAGGCGAAGGCCGGCGGGCAGGGGCCCCGGGGGCGGGGCCTGATTGGTGGGCGGGACCTTGTCTGGTAGGAGGGCGGAGACACATGGCGCCCCGCCCCGCGCCGGCCCCTACCCGGCAGGCAGCGCGTCCGCGCGTGCGCAGGCGCGCGGTGTAAGTGAGCTGCTGTAGGTGAGCCGGGCGCTCCCGGCTCTGCAGATGGGCTCCGGGTCCCTAGCGCCCGAGTCCCCACCGCCCGTGACCGAGAGCTGGGTCACCGGGCCGGAAGACGGGCGGGCCACGCACAGAGCGCCTTTGTTCTTCGGCGCTCAGCCGGCCCGGGAGGCCCCGGGTCCCCATACCCGCGCACGGCGGGCCCCTGAGGCGGGCCGCCCGGCTCCGCGCCAGCTGCCGGCTGGAGTCCACGCCCGTCGGGGCAGCGTGGAGTCCCAGCAGGCCGGCGCCTTCGCACCCGTTTCCCTCAGGTCACTGGTGGGCTGGCTGCTGCCTCTCGGGGAAGCCTGCCGTCCCGTGCTTGGCCTGTTTCCGAGTCCCCGCAGCAGTGATTCCCCCCACCCCCGCACCGCCCGGGGAGCTGGGCCGAGGGAGGAGGGGGCGCAGCTTCTGTCCCACCGACCCGGGCTCACTCCCTGCCTGAGATTCCCCCAGGCGCCCAGCAGTCTGGCTGGGAACATTCTGGGGTCCCTGACCAGGATAAGCGCCGCTCTGCCTACCCACCCCGCCCTGTACACTAGGCAGGCTGCTGCAAGCGGGCGCGCCAGAAGCCGGCCACCAGCAGGAGGCTGGACACCTTTCCTCCCGACCCTCCTGACCCGGCGGAAAGCAAACTGCAAGCGGCCACAGCCCAGCCTGGCACATCTGAGTGTCACTGAGTGCCTGTGGCCTCGCAGCCTGGTGGGAGCTGGTGCTGCTCCCTCTGGGACTCCACAGAGATGCCTCTGCCCAGATCTGGTGAAGGGTCCTGGGCCGGCGGGTGGGGTGCCAGCAGGGCAGCTGCTCTCTCCCCACAAGCCGACCTGCAGGTCCGGCCACTGGGAGGCTGGAGCTCTTGCTGTGAGTCCGGGCGCCCTCAGCCGGAGGAGACCCGACATCCTTTGAGGACTTCCTTGGAAGACCTTGCCGCAGCCGGCCTCAGCTCCAGGAAGGGAGGTAGGGTGGGCAGGACTGAAGAATGGGGCTTGGGGCACCTAAGGACCTTCTTGTTACAGGTAGCCCAGCGCTAAGGTGGGAAGGCTCAAAAGCTGGGGAGGGCAGCCCAGGCGGCAGGGTAGGAGGGGCCTCTGTAAATGGTGCCAGGGTCTTGGTGGAGTTCAGTCTTCCTGCCCCCTCCCCTACTGTGGAATAGCTGAGGGATCCATAGGAAGCTCTGTGCAGCTCGATCCCCTCACAGCCTGGCCCCTCACCTGTCTCCCTTGACGTCCGGGTGGTCTGCAGGGTGGGGGCCTCACGCACTCCCAGGCTGTGTGGCCTATGCAAGGCTAGGTGGAGGAGGTCCCTTCCTACCTTAGAGGGATGCCTGAGGGGGATGGCACTTTGAAGGACAGACTGAACCCTTCAGGGTCTTTCTAGCCAGCATCCCCACAAGGCCCTCAGAGCTCCTGGTAGTGGCTACTGATTCTCTTGTCTGGATGCTGGGACAGTCACCTGGTCTTGGGCAGCAGCCAGCAGTCCTCCACTGTCCATTCGGCCTGCTGCCTCCCTGCACTGTTCTTTGCAAATGCTGGCAGCTGGGCAGGGAGCCTGGTTGTAAAGGGAGAGCCCTGCCAGAACGCATGTGCCCACCACACTCACTGCCCGGCATGGGCTCAGCCTTCCTCTTGACTTAGCTGCTCAGCTTTCAGTTAGGTCCAGGGTCACCTGCCCCAGAGGACTTCAGTGTTGGGCCAGGACCATGGGAGCCCATGTCCTAGCAGGGGCAGCCTCAGCCCTGCAGCGTGTGCTCCTGCCTCAGGGTGGGCTGTCTTCATGACCCAGAGGCCAGCCTGACAGGGAGCTGTTCCCTGGGAGCCCCACAAAGTTTGAGTCCAGGGGTCCTTGCCACAAGGGATAATTAACAAGTCTATAGGTACAAATTTTACATGACCCAGGATCAAGTGCCTGGGAATCTGAAGATTTTTATTTTTGTTTTTTATTTTATTTATTTTATCTTTTTGAGACAGTCTCATTATGCAGTTCAGGCTGGCCTTGAGCACACAGAATCCTCCTGCCTCAGTCTCCCAAGCCTCCCTCAGATGCCTGACTTGGGAATCTGAAGCTTTTTGAACCCTAGCTTTGGGCTGGGCCTCTTTACAGAAAGGTCTTCATGGGAGAAAGGAAGAAGGTCAGCAATTCGCTGTCCTGGGTTTTGTGGCAGGTACAGGAGGAAGTGGGCAGGGAGCAGTGGGCATCCTGCTTCCACTGTTTCTGAGACAGACCTTGTTTGCCACGTGTCTCCCGCCCCTCACCACTGCCCTGTTGGGAACCTTTCCCTCAAGTTCCACGGCCCAGGAGCAGGAGGTGGGTCATGAGTAAGCTGGCCAAGTCAGACCTGGGCACAGGTAAGGGGGTAATGGTCCTGCCTTGTTTCCCATGGTGCTGGGATTCCCCAGAAGCTAGGTTCTTCATAGGGTGTCCTGGCAGCCATTGAGTGAGGGCAGCCACCCAGGACTTCTTAAGGTAGGGCCTGTGGCGGGCGGATGAGGCAGGCAGGAGCCTCTGACCCGTGCCTTTGATCTGTAGCCGCAATGTCACAAGGTTTCCCCTGTGGGGGCTGCAGTGGGCCCTGCAGTGTTTACCCATTGTCCAGCTGTAGTTTACATTTTTAGTGATCCTAAACTGGGCAGGTGGGAGAAACACTGGACATAGTTTGAAGGGTGGCAGCAGATACTGGAGAAAATGACCTCAGGATTTAGCCCGGGTCTCAGATAGGTAACCTCAGACTGCAGTGATGAAACCAGCGCGCTGTGGTCTTGAAGAGCCTTTCTCCCCATGATTCCCTGTATCTATCAAAGCGAGGCTTAATTGCTAACTAAATAAATTTAGCCTCTCAGGGCTGGGGATTTAGCTCAGCGGCATAAGCACCTGCCTTGCAAGCAGAGAGTCATGAGTTCGATCCCTGGTACCGATAAGAAAAAAAAAAAAAAAACTTTAGCTCCGAGTCTCATCTGTACCCATCTCAAAATAAATTGAGTCTCTGAAAATGCGGCCTGATTATTTACATAAGCGCAGCAAGAATAGGTGAACCACACTGGCGTTTGCTTTGTTGCAACTTTCTGTGGATTTCAGACTGGACTTTTAAAAGTTTCTTGGGACAGGTGTGACAAGTCACAAGTTTGAGAACAGCCTGGAATACACACTGAGACTCTATCTCAAGGAAATAAAAGAACCAAAAAAGGTCCTTGAGGCTCGGAAGCCCAGTAGGTTGCTGCACCAGATTTCGTCCGCTGCATCTGTGGGTCGGGGGAGTTACTCTCTTCTTGATCCTCCCTGAAGTGTCTCGAGCTTCCTGGGTATGTGTGAAGTGGCATCCTCCTCATCAACAGTCATGCCCACAAGGTGCCAGGCCATTCTTCTGAGGGCCTCTGTTCACACCGCGAAGTCCACCTTCATTCCTTAGCTAGTCCAAAAGGGGGACACTGGGGTCTTAGCCCTGGTACTGCAATGGTGTTTCCCCTTGTGTCTTCTTACAGAGAAAACAAATGCTTATTGAATTGCTGCAAGTAAACATGTTACCATGAAAATAAGATTATTCACTAATAGCTTGTGAATTCTGCAAGAATCAGGAAGAGGGGAAAAGATGGTTTCATCTTTGCTCAAAAAGGTCTGAGTTACATCCTGGCCCAAGCACCAGCGAATTGTTTCAGCAGTTGTTCGCAGGCAATTAATTCTCCTCCTGACAGATGGAAGCACATCATCACGGGGTTCTGAAGCTCTCCCTGGTACAGGCTGCTCCCCAGGTGACCAGAAGCCTGTCTTGCTCTACCTCCCGGCCTTCTGTGAATCCTGGAAGGAGCAGCGATTTGGGACTATAGCTGAGTGCAAATGCTTTCATTTCAGAAAAGTAAAATAAAACTAAGACAATCCTGGGGCTAGAGATTTAGCTTAGCAGCATAAGCGCCTGCCGTGCAAGCAGGCAGTCATAAGTTCAATCCCTGGTACCGATAAAAACGAAAAAGACCAAAAAAAAGACAATCCTTAGTGTCATGATTAAGTATATAAAGTTTTATTAATGATGCACTTGACAATGAAAGTTGGTTATTTTTGTCTCATGCAACATTTTTTGGGGGGAGCCAGGAATGGAACTCAGGACCTTGCACTTGGCAGGCAAGCAACGTGCCACTGAGCCCCCAGCACCTCGTGCAATGTTTGAACAGACAGAATGATGCTGGCAGCATAACAGGCATGCAGGCTGCTAAGAGTTCCATACAGTTTCTGCAACACATACCAACACCCATAAACAGCCCAAAGAAAAGTCTCTTTATTGACTGCTTTCCAAGTAATACATTAAGTCAAATTTCATTTCCCTTCTTATGACATCATCTTTTGAGATAATTCTAGGGGCCCTTTTGGAAATGCCCCATTACTTCAAAATCAAGAAGATGTATTTAAGATTTGATTTTAGAAGTTGTCAAATGTACCACCGAGTTTTAAAACACTGTTAAATATGATCTAGATTATCTATTTATTCAAAGTGGCAAAAGGTTTGTAAAGGCAAATTTAGGTCACATAGTTAGGAACAAAACTTGGCCCTTTTAATAGGAAAAGACACTTTTCAGAAACAAAGGGCCTACTGAGGGAACCTGAAGCGCAAGGAATGATGCTTAAGCACAACCAGCGCCTCCTAGGCCGATTACCCACAAGGTGGGGAAGAGCCTTACTCCTCAGCAGCCTTCCTGGGCTGGAAGAGTCCAGATTTGTGTCAGTGTACTGTGAGCAAAAAAGCTAATTTTGAGGGGCTGGGGATTCGCTCAGCGGCATAAGCGCCTGCCTTGCAAGTGTGTGGTTGTGAGTTCAATCCCTGGTACCAATAAAAACGAAAAAGAAAAAAAAAAAAACAGCAAACTTTGAGAAGACCCTTACCTACAAACCCATGCGATTTTAGCCAGCTTCAAATATGTAAGGTAAGATTTCCTTCTTACATTTTACCGTTAAAAAAAAACCCATCCGCTTCCCGCTGACACTTTCATTATTCCTTTTACTCCAGCACAGAATTAACCTCTTCCTGAAGTAGTTCCTGACACGCTCTTTCTACGGCCTAGCTTTCCCCAGGATCTTACACCTTCTCCTTAGTTTCCGTGTGTACTTTACATGCAGCCTGTGGCCTCTGTTATTCCTAATGGTTTTAATTGCATGCATTCTTTATAGTTTCCAGGGAAAAGCAGGAAGTAAGCGCCCGTGAGCTGTGACCCCAGGGGTCATTTCCCGGGCAGCATTCTGGCATCTGTAGAAACCCTGTCTGTCCCGGCCCCCCCCCCAACTTCCTCTCCTCCTGTCCGGTCAGCTCTTGGCTTGGACTTTGGTTTGGGGGCAGGGTCTCTGTGTAGACCAGGCTGGCCTGAGCTCGGGGTCCTCCAGCCTCCGCATCCTGAGGGAGCAGCGTGCACTGCTACACCATGTTAGTTTCATCCTAAACATCCCAGAAAATTTACTTACGCTTTTTGACTAACCCAGCTGGGAAAAAGTTTATCTGCATTATAGTTAACATGACAGCTTTGAAGGTTTTCCTAGTTGGTTCTGTGTCACCAACCTTCAAGTTTTATGTACCAAAGATAGTTCCAGGTCACGGGAATGTTTGGCTTAGTTTCTCTGTTTCTGAGTTTCAGGATAACACAAGCGCTCGTTTATCTCTAGGTCACTCTGAGTACAACGTGAGGCATGTTATAAATTAATTTGGTCCTGCCCTCGGTGTCAAGGCCTGGGCAGATGCCACACTACCACTGTGTGAATTTTGTCTCCACAGACAGATGCCAGCAGAGCGACAGTGTCCTCTTTACAACGTTTAGTCCCAAGTCAGCAGAGCGGGACCATAACTACTGGTTTGTTTCCATTTGCGTTTTTATCCAACTTGTGTTGCAGGCACAAACGAGAGGCTCAGTTTACCATTACTAACTCGGGGAAGACCTCCAAGCAGCTGACCGCTGTGGAGTCAGGAGGACAACAGTGGAGCCGGGAGGGGGCGACTTCCTGAGCAGAAACAGACACGCTGCAGCCTCTTTCGTGGGTTTTGCAGTGTTATGTTCATAGTTTCCTTAATACGTGAATACACTGACCACTAACCATTAACAGGTGACAATTCCAACAGTACGAGCTTCGCAGTGCCCGTCACTTTTCAGCTGCATTTAAAAGAGGACGGCAATGTATTATTGATCATTATAAAGGTTTACACATGCACACAAAGACATACTCGTGAGATTTTTCATTCTCCCAGTTTCTAAATAGCACCTTTTTCTTCTCCAATGACAGTCACTTCCCTGAAGTGTGTGATTCCAAGAGAAAACTATCAGGTTTTATAGCAAGCAGAAATTTTTCCTCTTAAGGGCATAGGGAAACATGCTCTTTCTTAGGAGGGAGAGTCTGGGGCATGTTTGCCAGACATTGGAGGTCAGTGACAGGGAGGCTGTTGACCGTTTCAGTGGCTGGAGGGCATCTGGAGAGGTCACTGTGCCCAACTCCACCCACTTTTTTTTTTTTTTTTGTCTTTTTGAGATGGGGTCTCACTATGCAGTTCAGGCTGGCCTTGAGCTCACTTTGTAGCCCAGGCTGGTCTCGAACTCGCAACGATCCTCGTGCCTCCCAAGTGCTGGGATTACAAGCGTGAGCCCCCACGCCCGGCTTCCATCCACTTTCCTTGTCAGCCTCGGGTAGCAGCTTTTAGGTGGCCCTGAGCCTGTGAAGGCATCCTGATATCCAAGCACACGAGGAGCTGGCATGGGAGAGAAGATGGCCTGGCCCGGTTTCCAGGAGACAAGGCTGGTCTGAGGAAACAAAATGAGCCAGGAGGTGCAGGGGGGAGGCAAACTGGGGAAGACCATTAGTACCGGGAGAGGAGGTGGACAGGCCAGAGCACTGCTTCTTGGGGATAGATGGGGGAGAACAGAGGTCTTCAAAACGACACTGTAGCCTACTCGTGGGCTCCCAGGTAGGCTGGCCTCTGACCAGAGTGCTCCAAGAATCTCTCAAGTGTTCCCTTAAGAGCTTTCACCAGAGCCAGGTGTGGGGTACATGCCTGTAATCCCAGCACTCTGGAGGCTGAGGCAAGAGGATTGTTGCAACTTTGAGACCAGCGGGTCTAAAAAGTGAGCTCAAGGCCAGCCTGAACTGCATAGTGAGACCCTGTCTAAAATAGATAAAAAAGAAGCTTTCACTGAGACAAGCTGTAAATATTGCTGGCACCACTGGACTCCCTTCTTCCTTTAAACCAGAGACCTCTCACCAACAGGATGGAACTCAGAAGTCCTTTACGGCCTTATCACAGCCCAGAGATTTCCCAAACCGAGAGCTGGAAGGTCCAGAGCTGCATCCCCAGACAGTGGGAGTAGAAGGAGGCCACTGTGACCTCAGGCAGGAAAGGGCCCGAGTCACACGCCTCTGGCTGGCGGAGACAGAAAAGATGTCCTGACTGTTCCGAGGAGGAGGAGGAGTCATCGCTGCAGGGTGGGCCAGTGGGCACCCAAAACAGATCCACAGTATTTTCTCCTGCTAAGCTGAATTTGAAAGTTTTTTTACCTCCCACTGCCATCTGGGCACTAAGGACAAGGTCAGGGAGAGAATCTGCCTTTCCGGGATGCTTCAGCTCTCCATCATCTCCTCTGCAGGCTCTGGGAAAGGTGGATGTCTCAGCCACCCTTCTTTGGGCCCCAGAAAACAGAAAACAGAAAAATTAGTGTCTTTTCCTGGCTGTTGCAAGCTTCAGGGCTGAGACCCATCCAACAGGGGGCAGGTTAACAAGAAAAGCAGTCAGGTTTCTTGTGTGTGAGATTTATGTGACCCGAGCCTTTGAAATGACCCAAAGGGACAGTAACACCTTCTGAGGAGCAATCAGGCGGCTCTGAAGATGACACACTCAGCAAGGCCCATGGCTCAGGTCCTTCTTGATGTCCCTGTGACCGTCCCCTGAAACTCAACAGGCTGTCTGGAGGTGGGAAGCCCTTGAAGTGCTATGCTGAGCCTGCTTTGGGGGGCTGGGAGAGGAGCTCCCCCATCTTTTTCTCTCCATGGTGTGCCACACGGCTCCTGCCTCATCATCTCAGTAAACCAGACAACCATGCAGCCTTTGATGGAGCCCCAGGACAGTGGACCAGGCCTCTCCTCTGTGGGGAGGCTCCCCAGCCACGCGACCTCCCAGGCAGCTCAGACCAGGTTCTCATACCTGGCGAAGCCTGAGAGCTTCTCGCACAGCACTTTGAAGCAGGGCCTCTGCTCTGGGTCCCTGCTCCAGCAGGAGCACATCAGTGTGTACACATTGGGCGGGCACTCCTGGGGGCAGGGCATTCGGTAGCCAGCATCCACCTTCAGGAAGGTCTCATGGTTGGACATGCCTGTGGCCAGGGACAAGAGTAGCAAGACTGTGGGGAGGCTGATGACCAACCCCCACCCTGGAAACCCAGCCACCGCACCGTCTGCTCATCAGGGGTGTCTGGCCCGTACCTGGATAGGGTGTCTGGCCCCTGCTAAAGATCTCATGGAGCAGGATCCCAAAGGACCAGACATCAGACTTGATGGAGTAATGCCCTTGGGAGAGCGCTTCAGGGGCTGTCCACTTGTACGGGATCTTGTGGTTGTGGGAGAGGTAGATGTCCTCCTGCAATCAGACAGAGCCATCAGGGCTGTAGTGGGCCACAGTGTCCCCTACAGAGGGGACACTGTAGAGAGCCCCTGTAGAGGGCTGCCTGTGTCCCCTAATCTGTGTGCAGGCCACAAAACCAGTCAGGATGTAGCCACACTGCTCTGACGGTTATCTGCCCTGCTGCCACCAGAGGGAGCTCCACTAACCAGCTGGTCAGAAGCGCCCATCCCCTGACACCCTGGGGACAGTCCAGAAGCAGAGTACAGGAATGGGGAGGGAAGCACTCCTGGAGTGCGCCTGTAACAGTGAAGGAACAGGGGCATGGATGGACCACGCCTTTCCTGTCACCGTCACTGTCGGGAGCCCATCTTCCCCATGGTTGGCTTTGCCGCTGCCCTACCTTGATGAGCCTGGCCAGCCCAAAGTCGCCCACTTTGCAGATATTGTTCTCTCCCACAAGAATGTTTCTGGCGGCCAAGTCCCGATGGATGTAATTCTTGGATTCCAAGTAGCACATGCCCTCAGCCACCTGCGATGCAATGTCCACCAGTTCGGAAACAGGCAGCTCTTGCTTCTCAGAGTCTGTGGGGTGACAGGGCCAGGGTCAGCTGGGCAGGCCCGGACCAAGTCCTTACCTACACTGACTGCTCCTCCAGCTCCTCCTTGGCTGCGGCAAAGGGCAGCAACCTGGTTTAAAATTGGGACAGTGGCCAGGCCGGCCCTTCTGTACTTACTATCGAGGGCAGTGTGTGACGGCCTCTGCCGGCAGAAACGCTGCAGACCAGAGACAGAGGTTTGCAGGGGGACTCCCACAGCACTGCTTGCTTATGCCACTGGCCCCTCCAAGGGTCGGCAGCAAACAGTGACCAGGTGGCCGCAGTACCCTGTGCGCCAATGCACTGCTAAGAACACTAACCCCAGGGAAAGCACTCATGGCCATGACGATCAAGCTAATCTATTATGTGAAAAGTGTAGGCTATGAGATCTTGCATATCTGAAATGACGCAGCCCAATTAACTGGCAGCGCTTTTGGCTTTGGTGTTGAAGGAAACCCCGGAGATGGAGATTCCAGGTGAGGTGCCTTGTGTGTGCCTGCGCGCACAGGTGGGCGTTTCTGTGTAAGTGTGCACGTGCAGGCCTGCGTGCGTGAGCACGCCCCAACACTGGAAGGACAGCCGAGGGCTCCAGGAGAAACTGGCTGCAAGAGGCCGGCCCGCAGCTGTGTGCTCCAGTGAAAAGGCCTCATTAACCCCGGGCAGGAGCCAAGCGCTCTTCTTATCTGCAGTGATCTGTAGTTTTTACAGTGAGCAGACGGAAGATTTATACTTAAGTCATTTCTCTTTACTTCCATTATTATTATTATTAATGGTTTTTGAGACAGTATTACTACAGGGTGGCCTTGGACTCCCTATGTAACCCAGACCTGCTTCAAACTCGTGGTGGTCCTCCTGCCTCAGCCTCCTGAGAGCTGGGATTATAGCTTTGTAATTTGTATTTATTTGTTTATTGTATTTATGCTGACATAAGGTCTTGCTCTGTGGTCCAGGTTGCCCGTAAACTCAATGTGTAGCCCAGACTGACCTCAAACTTGTACTCCTCTTGCCTCAGCCTCCCTAGGCCTGGGATCGCAGGTATGTGCCACCACACCCAGCTTTAAAGTCATTTCTTAAGAAAGTGGCAGGTGCACCTGGGAGCTCCCAGCTACTTGGCGTGGTCGGAGTGATCTGCACTCTGGTTTTCTGCTTAGTCCAACTGGCCCCAGCCTCTTTGTGTCCCCCGACCCCCGCTCCAGAGAGTGGGCTGAGGCCTTTGTCCACGCACCCCGCAGCAGCTCCAGCAGGTTCCCCTTGGGCATGAGCTCCGTGACGATGTAGACAGGGTCCCCTGCAGAGGCCACCGCGTACAGCGCCAGGATGTGCTTGTGCCGCAGCTTCTGCATGGCCTGGATCTCCGACTTGAAGGTGTGCTGGTGTAGGAGATTGTCTGGGGTGGGGGCACCATGCTCCTGTCACCCACTGGCTGCCCAGAACACAAGCCAGGGCCTCCACCCCAGAACCTCACCACTCTCTCCCTGCCTGCCTGTGCCCACCCAAGCCAGACACTGGCCAGGCCTTCCTGCACCTGGCCCTGATCCCGGGGGAATTTTAGGTGAACCTTTCAAGATATCCAGCCATTTATTATTTGAATGGCTTTCCATTTCATTAAGAAATTAAAGTTCCCTTTTATCACAAATGAGGTTAAAATACAGATGTCACTGAAACGAGACCCTCAGATGCTGTCGGCCTCTGGCAGGTGGGGGACAGCAGGACTCCCGGGACGGACATGTTGTCAAGCAGAGCCCAAAGCCTCGACCACTCACCTCGGGAAATCACCTTAATGGCCACTTGGACCTGGCCTTTCCAGAGCCCTTCGAAGACCTCCCCGAAGTAGCCAGCCCCCAGCTTCCTGCAGAGCGAGAACTCCTCCTGCGGCCTCTCCCAGTTGGCCCAGTGGGGCAGGGGCTCAGCCTCGTGCTGGAGGGACAGGGGATGCACAGGGCAGGGCAGAGCACTGGCCTGGCTCCTCCTCGGGAAGGACTTGCTTGGAACCCCACACGAGGATCCCAATTTTATCTCAAACGCAGGGCCATGCTCAGCTGAGGAGGGGCTAGTGGCTCTCCTCAGGCCCCTGGCAGCAACTCCCTTCAGCATCCTGAGCTGGGACCCAGCAGGACAGTGCTGACCTCTGTCCACTGGGCTTCTGGTCACCACATCCCATCCCTGCTCTACACACCCTCCCACTCAACCCTCAGCACCCCGAGTCCTGCAGGGGTGGGTAGCCCTACCTTCCAGCAGGGTGTGGTCAGCCGCAGCCCGTGGGACAGGCTGTGGGCCTTATGGTAGTCCACGAGTTCCACCAGGCTGAAGAAGGACACTGCCTCATTTAGGTACAGCCGGCCGCCCTGGTGCTGCCAGATCCTGTAGTGCCGCACGGCCTGAGCATCCCGCACTGGGCCAGCACAGCACGCAGAAGGGGATGTGAGCAGCCGCCCAGCCTGGCCCGGTCCCAGCCCGTGCTGCAGCTGCCCGGCCTCCGCCACAGCCCTGGCCACACTGAGATCTGTGTGCTGGGCTGCTCGGCTCCCAGAGTGCTGGGGCTGTGGTTATAGGTCACACCCAGACTAGGGCGCCTGTGGGCTCTGTGCTTCATGAGACGGAGGCCATGGGCAAGGGAGCAGACCCCAGAAAGGCACCTCCTGGCCTCCCCCTCTGGCTTCTACAGAGCGCCATACTGAGTTAGGCTGCAGCCATGTAGGAGGGTCAGAACTCCAAGGAGGAGAGCCAGGTGTCCTAGATGTTATTGCCAGAGGAGTCTAGGCACACAGAGGCCCACCAAGGCAGGGGCTAACGGGGACAAGCCAGGCGGCCGTACCAGAGAGAACATAGTCTGCACCCGACTTCTCGCTGACCCTGACCAGGAAGGTGCCCGGTGAGCTGCCCTCTGCCTGCAGCCGGTGTGTTGCTTCCGAGCGGGAGATGTTGCCAAAGAACCATCTGCAAAGAAGGGGCAGCCCGAGCCAGAGCTGACCCCACCCAGCTCCGCACCCGCTCAGACCCGTTGCTGACCAAAGCCATCTTTGCTGCCACCTCCCACCCCAGCCCTGCCCAAGCTGCCCACTCACTGTCCCCAGCCCTGAAGGAGCCCCTTCTTTGCCTGTCATGGAGCCTGAAGGTCCTGAAGGGCAGGCTCTGGATGCTAAGAGAGGTCCCAGTGCCCCAGAGGGGGAGGGGTGGGCACAGCACACACCACACGGGAGCCCACCAGAAAGCCTTCCAGCTCAGCTTCTTTCTTCCTCCAAGCACTGGGCGTGGGTCCCAGAGAGGGCCCTTCGCACTGAGCCCCACCCCCAGCCCTTCTCATGTTTTGAGACGGGGTGTCCAGTCACTACATTGCCCATGCTGGGCTCAAACTCGTGATCCCCATGCCTCAGCCTCCAGAGTGCTGAGGTTACAGACGTGCATCGCCACAGCCAGCTCACACTGGCTTCTGACATGAGGCGTGGAGGAGCCCTCCACTCCGGAGTGCAGGGCACGGCTCTGCCCTTGATGTCTCTGGCTCCCTCCAGAGCGGTCAGAACACAGGCTTCACGCAAAAGACCCGCACCGGCTCCAAGCCTTCTGGCTCCACCCCTGGGCTCCTGCAGACCTAGAAAATCTCCCATCTCTCCCTACCTCCACCACACTGCCTCCTTGACCCCATACCTGCAAGATACTGGGGGCCCCAGGGCCTTTGCACCTGCCACACTGGCCACCTGGGCCCTCGTCAGCCTGTGCCCGGCTCACATCCCCTCGCTGTCCCTATGATGGGCCTCTGCCTCTGAGATGCCTGCTGGCACCTGGTACACTGTGGTTCACTGGCATGCAGCAGGTACTCAGTGGATGCTGAGTTGAGGCCCCTTCCATGTACCTTCTGCAGCCCACGGTAGCCCCAGAAGCTAGAGGCCTCAGCTGCTGGGGACAAGCCTGTGCCAGCCCCCCAGCCAGGTGGGTAGCACAGCACAGCAAGCCAGAGTCTCAAAGGACAGATATCCACCCTGACAAGCTGCAGGCTGCCTCAGCAGCTTTCCTGTTCCCCGAACTAGGTCACACTTCTGGTTCTGGCTGTTTGCAAAGTGAGCAAACTTTACACTCCTAGGACTCTCACAGACTTCACCACTGGTGGTCAGTGCCCCCCAAGGCCTACCCTGGACACTCTGTCCTCTCTGAGTCACGGGGACAAGGTCCCTCACCTCCAAGGCCCCTCCCCGATGCCAGGCAACATCGTAGCCCAGTCAGCACCATGTATGGGGGGGGGGGGTGGAGTCCAGTGGCTGAGCCCAGCCCGGCATCCAGCCTCAGCTTAGGATTCAGGAAGATGTACCAAGAGCTCCCGGCCCTCCTGACACCGCCCCCCCTCCCCCCCCCCCGCCCCCCGGCCAGCCAGGGAAGCTGCTGTCCCGCACACTCACGGCTCGGACTCCACCGTCTCCTTCTCAGCCAAGTAGTTGTGGGGCACATAGCCCTCTGCCAGGGCCTGGCCCAAGTCATCCAGCAGGGTGGCCCACCACCACTCATCCTCCTTCCTAGCCACATGGAACAGGGCCCCTGCCCGGAAGCTCAGCTCCTCATCTGTCCGGGCCTCAAAGTCCCAGAGGCCCACGTACTTGGGGCCTGGGCAGACCTGGCCCCGGGACGCCATGGCAGTGTTGCAGCAGGGCCAGGGTGTGGGCCTCCTGTGGGCACCTGCACTGGGAGGGGCAAGCAGGCTGCCCCTGATGAGCCATCTCCACCCACTTCCTTGTGAGGAGGCAGGAGCTGGCCACACCCGGCACCAATGGACTCCGTCCTGCACACCACCAAAGTCCACACGGCCAGCCACATGGCCACGGAGCTGGACTGGAGCCAGAAGGCAGGTGGAGCAGCCCCCACATGGAGGGCCCAGCCCTGGGGTATGCAGGGACAGAGAGGGAGCTGCAGAGAAGGTGGTCAGCATGGGAGCAGCACTCCCCTGGGAAGATCCCCACAGTCATGGATATCACCCCACTCCTCACCATGAAGCCTCCCCCTGACCAGGATGGGGAGCCACCTCCCTGGGCAGGGCCTACCTAATGAGTGCCACAGAACCCACCCGGGGGAAGGACCAAGGGGGCAGCAGGGGTCTCAGGGTGAGACTTGCAGGCCACGGGTGGGTGCACCCAGCCTGGGCCTCCATGTGTGCAGGTGGGGGTGCCAATGACTCTTCCAGAGACAGCAGCTGCAGTCCTGGGCAGTGGGTGACCCACAGGGAAGACCTGAGGGAAGGCTGGCCTGGAGGTGCCCTCCCTCGCTAGGACACAAGAGGGCGGCAGAAGACCACCGGCAGCAGCCTGAGAGCTGTACCTCCAGGCACCCGTCCATCCTGGTCGCCCATCCACATCTACTCCCCTCCACCCAGCTTCTCACAGCCTGCCCCTCCTCCCACCGAATCCCAGACTTCCTCCCTCTCTCCAGGGCATTCCTGCCACCGCCCTGTCCCTGCTGCAGTGTCCACCCCAGGGTGCTCCCACCCGGAGGCCTAGCAGCCATGGGAGCAGGGTGAGAATGAATGGCTGGGGAATCACGCCCTCAACTCTGCGCATTTGAACTTTTCTTCTTTTAAATATTGGAACACCAGGGACTGAACCTAGGGCCTCATGCATGGCAGGCAAGTGCTCTACCTACTGCTAAGAGATATTTTCAGCTAAACCTTTCATTGAGAAGAGAAATAGTACCAGCCAGGCTGCAGCTCCCTCCAGGGACAGGAGGGGACGGAAGTAGGCTGGAGCACAGCCCTGCTGCATGGTGAGGGCAGAGTGGTGTGAGCTGAGCCTTGTAGGGCCACACCCCTGCCTCACCCTTCGAGGGACGGCAGAGGGGAGGATGGTCCATTATCATTTGAGAATGACCTTGCCAGTCCAGGTCAGTCCCCACCAGGCCGGGGCAGAAGTCAGAGGTCCGGATGGAGTGGGGAAGAGGTGGGCTGTGCTCAGAAGAGGCCTGGGGCGGGAAGCAGGACGGCTGGGTGCTAGGCAGATGAGCACTGGGCCGCTCAGGCCCAGGGAGCTCGGGGTAGTCCTGCCCACCCCTACCTGCTCCAGTGCCCTCAAGCCTAGCATCTCTGGGAGCCAGCTGTGTCTAGGGGACCTAGGTGACCCCTGGATGCAGATGTGTGTGGGTGCTTCTGTGTAAGCCACACCAGGAAGCAGGAAAATCCCCTGCCAATCTTGGAGACCTGGGAGGGCCAAACTAGTTCAGCCTGTGGCTGACAAGACACCCAGGAACGCGCCAGGGCCCACAGATAAACCTGCCTCTGTGGTCTAGCTGCCGGCAGAGGGCGCCAACTCCACACATTCCTTGGTTGGGGGGTTTCCCAGCCACCCTCCCAGCAGCTGGGATGGCACTTGGAAGGGCTCCAGAGGAGCTCCCAGGCTGACCTGCTCAGTGAAAGGCCTCCCCCATTCCTCCCCTCTGCCGTCCCTCGAAGGGTGAGGCAGGGGTGTGGCCCTACAAGGCTCAGCTCACACCACTCTGCCCTCACCATGCAGCGGGGCTGTGCTCCAGCCAGCTTCCGTCCCCTCCTGTCCCTGGAGGGAGCTGCAGCCTGGCTGGTACTGCTTTCCCTAGGTGTTGCCCCACTCTGGCCTTAGCCTCCTGCCCCACTCTCTCTGCCTGGGTTGCTAGGTCGCTGGGTACATGGGGTTCAACTGCAAGCCCCCTTCTGTGCCAGCTATGGGCGAGGCCTATGGTCAGTAACTGTAAATAAACTGGTGTCCACAGGGGAAGCACTAAGGTAAACTCTATCCCCTCCAGGGGACAATGGCCGGAAGCCTGTCTTCCTGTCCCCACAGCCAACTTCCCAGGACGGCTGCTGAACCTGCCCCCCAGGAAGCTGGAGGCAGGGTCTCCAGAGACCTTGAACAAACACCACCCCCCTGCTCCTGTGTGCCTGAATTAAGTCATCTTCCCATTGCTGGGACAAAACACCCTGCATACGCTACTGTCTGAGTTGGCGCTTTGCCTCTGTGAACAAAATACCTGCCACGAAAAGCTCAGAAGAAGGAAGATGTATTTCAGCTCACAGTTTTAGTTTCTTTCCATGGCTGGTCGACTTCAAAGGGAAAACATCTGGGCGAAGAAGGATACAGCAGGGGAGACCCGCCTGCCTCAGGGCACCCAGGAGAGGCAGGCAGAGTCTGAGGGAGAGGAACAAGCGGGGACATGAAACCTCCAGAGGCGCAGACCACACCACTGTGTCCCCATCTCGCGCAGGGCTGGTGCCCCTCCAAGACTCTAGGTCCACCTCCTTCCTGGGTCTCTGGGGCACCCCATGACCAGCTTCCTGCCACATGCCCACCGCCTGAGCGGCACCAAGCCATGAACCCCACAACAGCAGTCACAGAGGTGGCCAGTGTTCTCAGGCCCCAGTCCCCTCTCCAACCCTCACCCCACCACTGCAGCTTCCAGGGTCAAGTCAGCAACATGGAGCCATAAAGTGCCATCCTCAAGGTCCAACCCCATCTGGGGCTTTTTTCTGACCAGAGAGTCACTTGTCACCTACTTGTCAGCGTACCACTGTATTCTGCATGCACTGCCCACTAACCTGCCATCCAGGAAACCACCTCTCAACTAGCGCCCACTTGAGAACCAACTTGGAGATGCAGGTCCTCCCCTGGAAATGGCTGAGTGCAGCTGCTGGCCACCAGCCTGCCCCTCCTGTGGCCTGACGGAGCTGCCTGCTCCAGTCCCAGCCTGCAGGCTCCAGCCAAGCCCAGAGAGGCTCATGCCTCTGCCGGATCCTGAGACTGGATGGGGTCCAGCTCCCTCTCTCTCCTACTTCTGCGAGCTGTGACAGACCTCTTCACCCCTAGCACCTAGCTCTGGGTGGAGGGAGCTGCTGTGTGTGTGGCATGGCTGTGCCCATGGCTGAGTGGATTATACTTATTGAATGTTGCCCACATGTGCCCACATTTGCAGTGCAGGGGGGCACAGCCTGTCCCCAGCTGTGCACAGCATATGCTGATGTGTCTGCTTTGAGATGCAGCACATGGTGACATGTGGGAACTCAGGCCTCTCCTCTGGCCCAGCGAGGGAGTCAGGGAAGCTCAGGGGAAGAGAGGGGGCAGCCACTGGGCTCAGGGCCTTCTCCTCCAGTGCTTCCACGAACTCCACTTCTGGGCTTTCTCCCTTCTTCTGAAAATGCCAGGAACACCAGCCACACAGGGCCAAGGACCTCAGCCCTTCTGCCATCTGGGGGGCCATGTCAGTGCAGGAGGCCCTTGGCCAGATGTACAAAGGCTGTAGGGTCCTGGCCATGTGGCCTCCCTGGGATGTGATACTGACAAGCGCTGTCCTAGGAGATGCCCGACCAGAGCAGCAGGCTCCGCACAACCCTGGCCCAGAGCCCCAGTCACGTGAGGCCCAAGTGCAGGCGCCTGTGGACAGTGTCCAGCTTCTCCTGCAGCATGGCAAAGGTAGGCCGCTCCTCAGGTCTGCTCTTCCAGCACTCCAACATAAGCATGTACACTTCCACCGGGCAGGCTGCTGGGCGGGGCAGCCGGTACCCACGGCTGAGCTGCTGCAGTGTCTCATGGTTGGTCATTCCTGGAGAGGGTGGCATGAGACAGCCAGGATCACTATGCAGAGCTCCCGATCCCAGCCTCCTTTACCACCAGCTGGCCTTGGCTGGACCTTTCTGCCCCAGGAGTAATCTCAGGGCCCAGGTCCAACACCCAGGGCCAGTGACCCCCAGGGCAGTGTGTGCTGGGATGAGGCCTGTGTCTCCCCAGGGAGTGCACCTTCGTAGGGACACTGGCCATAGGTGAAGACCTCGAACAGCAGGATGCCGAAGGACCAGACATCAGACTTCTGTGAGAAGATGCGGTAATTGGCTGCCTCAGGGGCCGTCCACTTGACAGGGATCTTGGAGCTGCTGCTTGGGGAGTAGATGTCATCCTGGGGACAGGAGAGGTTGGTGTGAGCAGACAGCAAGCTCCCTGCCTCCCACAGGCTCAGAAGCCTGGACCTCTCCCACTGACCTTCAGTAGCCGGGCCAGGCCAAAGTCGGCCACCTTGCAGGTGAGGTCGTCGCCCACGAGCACATTCCTGGCAGCCAGGTCCCGGTGGACAACATGCTGCTCCTCCAGGTAGCTCATGGCCTCGGCCACCTGGCAGGTGAAGCTCAGCAGGACAGGCAAGCTCAGTCCCTGGCCCTCGGGGCCTACAGGGGAAGAGAAATCAGAAGTCAAGGGCCAGAGGGCCAGGGCCCAGGAAGGCACAGGGCTGAGGTCAGTTAGGGCTCAGTCTCCTCATCTCTAAGCTGGAGTGGGGCGGCACCATGGAGGCCACGGTGGGCGGTGAGTGAGGTGGGAAGAGGGTGTCTGTGCTCACCTCTCTTCTCAGTGCAATCTTCTCAGACCCCAGGGGAGACCAGGGGCAGAGGACCCGAGAAGGGCTGGGTATCCCAAGCTGGCTGGGGCCATGGTCACGTTACACAGAGGCTGGTGACCCTGATATATCCCCTCCCTTGCTTGGACTCTACCCTAGCCCTGGAACCACAAGGCTCTGAGTGTAGTGAAGCCAGGACCCCAGACCCAAAAACCCGGTCCCCGTCGGCTGGAGGCTGACAGGGGTGCATCTGTGTAGCCTGGGCCACATGTCATGTAAATAGGTCCCAAGACACCTCCAGGCCTAGAGCGGCAGCTGCTGTCCTCCCAGGGTGACACGGGCTGCTGCTGCAGGGCACGGCGTGGTGTACTCACTGCCCAGGTAAGCCTGCAGGTTGCCCTTGCGCATGAGCTCAGTGACGATGTACACAGGCTCCCCCACGGAGCACACCGCGTGCAGCCGGATGAGCCGCTCGTGCCGCAGGCTCTGCAGAGCCTCGATCTCCTTGGCGAGGTCGGCCAGTTTCATGTCAGCTGCAGGAGAGGACTCTGCTCCAGCACTGTCCGTATCACCTGCCACCACTGCCCTGAAGTTCCCAGGGTCTGAGGGTGGTGGGTGCTGGGCCTGGGCTTGGCTGGAGGACTCGGGCACAAAGCCTCACCTGACTTGATGACCTTGACTGCCACGGGCACAGAGCCCAGCCACACGCCTTCCCACACCTCCCCAAAGTAGCCTTCTCCCAGCTTCCTCCGAAGGACAAATTCTGAGCGTGGCCGCTCCCACTTGTCCTGCGCCAGGGGCTTCTGTGGGAAGGAGGCGTTCAGTGCTCGGCTTGCTGCCCCCCTGGCAGGGTGGACATTCAGCAGGGGCCCGCCTCCCCGTCTGTCTTGGGCAAGCGCAGCAGAGACCCTGGGCACCTCTGCCCCAGCACACATTGACCCAGGATGGTGCTGGCCGTGGGAGTTGATTGCTTCGGGGACCTAAGTGGTGCCTTTGCCTGAGCCGGATATTTGTCACAAACACTCATTATCACCACCGGCTGGGCTGTTATTACCAGACCAGAGAAACTAGATCGCTACCCTGGCCCCTTGTCTTAGTTTGTCTGGGACAGTCCCAGAGCTGGGGAGGCATCAGGATCGCATCTCCTCCCACAGCTTCTGCCCTCCAGGCCTGCACAGCTGTGGGCACCTCCCTCAGGTTGGCTCCTGCCTCCTCCTGCTCCCCTGGAGCCGGGGCTGGGCCCCAGAGCCGGCTGAGTGATTGAGAGGGGGTCCTATGCGGCCCACCTGAGGCCTGCAGGGCTGCAGCAGGGGGCTCTGGATCCGCTTCCAGTTGGCCTTATAATAGGCGAGCAGCTCCTCCAGGCTGGGAAAGAGCTGGCCCTCCTGCAGGTAGAGGCTGCCGCCGGGCGCTGTACAGATTCGATAGTGGCAGACTTTAGCCTGGGCTCGGACTAGAGGAGCAGAGAAGGACACTGTGCCTCAGCAGCAGCCTGTGCAGGCACCACCACCCAACCTCCAAATGGCCTGGATCAGACTGGTCGCAGGCCCCTGAGTGGCCAGTGTTGTGTGCAGTGTGGGGCACGGGCAGGGAGCAGAGAGAAAGTGTTTAACAGATTCTCATCAAATGGATGAATTGTGAATAAGCAAATGAAAAAAAGAAGGGAGAGAAAGGAAGAAGGGAGGGGAGGACAAGCAGATGGCATGACCAGATGAGTAAGGAGCCAGTTCTCGCTGGGCGGCTGGCCTGCTGCCCCCCTGCTGGGGACAGTCTCAAGGGGCCTACCAATTACCTGAGAGTGAGTAGCTCCCAAGGCTGCTCTCGCTGGGCCGGATAAGGAAGGCCCCTGGTGCATTGGCAGGGGACAGGAGCAGTTGCTGGGCCTGGGTCCGGTTGATCCCACTGAAGTACCAGCTGCAAACAGTAGGCACTGTGGTCACCTCACAGGCCCAGCCCTGTGGGACCCTGGCCAGGCTTGGGCCTCAGCTATCTTGCCATCTCTCAAGGCAAAGGCAGAGCCAGGTGCCATGTTGGGGTCCTGGGTCCCAGTGCTGCCCTCAAGGGCCCTCAGGGCTGAATTGGGGACCACTAAGGCCAGCACAGAGCTGACCCAGCCACCATCGGTGATCTGAATGCTTCCCTCTGCCACTGAGCCAGTCCACTCACCTGTGAGCCCTGCTGCAGATGACTTGGCTTATGAGTTTCCAGCCCCAGCTACAGGCTAAGAATTATGTTGAACCCATCAAATCTGAAACTTTTCTGACCTCTGAGGAGGGTTCACTGGGAAATAGGGTCCCCCAACAAACTGGCTCAGAACCATGTACTGGGCTGCGGATACGGCCAGGCAGGACATGGGTGCTGCCTGACTGGGCACAGTCGGTCGATCTACCTGGGGAAGCTGGTTAGATGGAAGCTGGGGGCTCCTGGAGGCCACTGGATCCAGGCTGGCAGAAAGACAGGAGAGGCCCACGGGGAATTTGGGGAGGAAAGTGCTCAGAGCACCTGTGTTCCTCTGAAAGGCCAGACTAGGGCAGGTCAGTCTTGAGTTCCCTGGCCTCACCCACACAGACGCTCCCTCCCGAACTGGGGAGCTCCCTCTCCCACAGGGAGACAGGAGCTCCTAGGTACCCACTCCTTAGGCATCTAGATGTACAGGACCCCATGCCTGCTGTCCCCTTGCAGGTGACCATCCATGTAAGTCACACCAAGTATGGCTCACTCATACCCAGGAGCCAGAGACATCCTGGGGAAAGACGAAGTCCCTTCCCATGCCACCCACTGTATGTGGCTCTACTGCCCAAGGCCCAGGCGTGGTCCACACCTGGCCCAGCTCCCTACCCCAAGCCTCCCACTTCTGGGACCTTGCAAGGAGTGAGGTGTGCCAGCCCTATGCTGGGGACCACAGCCATGCAGGAAGTCACAGTGAGCACAGCCCCTAATCTACCCAAATGGGGGAATGCAGTGAGCAGGGATGGATGGGAGCCAGTGAGAGACCACTTAGGGAAAGGATGAGAAAGCGAGGGACCCGCAGGGTGATGCAGAGCAGCCCACTCAGCAGAGGCCACAGGGCTGGACTTGGGTTGGAGATGTGGACACAGCTGGAGAAGTGATGGGGAGGAAGGGGTGGATACAGGCCCAGGCCTTGAGCTTTGGGAGATGTGCCTCGGGGTCTCTTCCGGAGTGTGGGGGCGCCTTAGCAGCTGATGATGCCAGGAGAGGCAGCCTTTCATCTCCAGGCCCAGGTAGTCATTAGTTTTCCCCACAGCAGCCTTGCCTGACCCCACCTGCCCTGCCTGTCTACCAAGCCAGCAGCCTCAGAGCCACATAGACTCTGCCTTCCACATCTGTGTGGCCCCTCCCCGTGATGATAGCTGCCAGCAACCTTGGACAAAGACCTGAAGCTCCTCGAAAGCTTCTTCCTGTGACTCCATCCTCACTGTCACAGGAAAGCCCCAGCATCTGTGAGCACTATGGTCCCCAAGATGCTGGAGGTGGCTCTGAGGATGCTCAGACCTGAGCTGCTCTGCAGAGGGCAGGCCCAGGGCTTGGGCCCAGCGGAGTACAGGAGCTGCCAAGTGCGCCACTCGCTTGGCTGGACTGCTACCCACCAGCTTTGACCTGCCCCTGCTGCTTGGCCTTTCCTAAAGGAGGCAGGACTTGCCCATCTTGACTGTGTTACTGACTGGAATGACAGCAACACCTGGGCTGAAAGGCAGGCAAGGGACACATCCCAGGATTCAGATCAAACAGTTGAGGCCTCTGCACTGCAACCACCATACAGCAGGGCCCAGCTTGGGGCTGGCACACAGGAGTCATGGGCTCTTCCTGTACCTTAGGAGGCTATGCAGCCTGCCCCCTCCAAGAACACCGCTGGGGAGCACCGAGCCCCCAGATCACAGGCCATGGATCGTGCAGGCCAGGAATCCACGCAGGCCACTTGCTGCCAGTGGATCCCCCATCCTTGTGGACCCAGAGTCCCCAGACAGGCCATCTGCTCCACACCTGGACAGGCTCAGGGGGGTTTGGTAAGTGTGAACTCTGCTCTGGCCTGGCTTAAAGCTCCGTCCAGTCCTAGAGGCCCCTGCACAGCTCCTAGAAAGCCGAAGTCCCTGCCAGGAGCTCCTAGAGCAGCAGGTGCCCAGCTTGCCCCGCACCTCCCAGCCCTTGGCCTTCCAACAGGAACCGCTCTGTGATCACCCTCGCTGGATCCCAACACAAACGCAACAGCCTGGAGCAGAGCTCCATCGCTGATTCGGCCCGACCTGCCCTGAAGCGGCCTGGTTACCCCTGCTCCCGCGCCTGCTCGGTCTGGCGTCCACAGACATTGGGTCAACAAGATCCCTGGTCCCTGCCTTCCCACGGGGGTTCGGCGTAGGTACTCACGGCTGGTCTGCGAGCGTCTCCGGGGCAGCCTTGGCCACGTAGGTGATGGGTACCAGGCCGGCGCTGGGGGGCCCGGAGAGCCTGCGGGCGAGGATGTAGTCGCCTTCTTCCCTGAGCGCGAAGAGCCGGTCCCCGCGGCTGACGCTCAGCTCGGCGGCGCAGCGCGCGGTGAAGTCGTAGAGCGCGCGGAAGATCTGAGCGCGCGGTGCCGGAGGACTGCGGGGCTCGGCGGGGCGCTCGGGCGCGGGCTCCGCGTCAGAGCCCCGCGGCACCGGGCCGTCGTCCTCTGGCTCCTCCGCCGGCCAGATCTTGTCCCAAAAGAAGGACAGAAACGCCAGGCGCTTCCTAAGGAAAGGCTCCATGCCCGCGGAGGACTGCGGGCCGGGGCGCCGGTGGAGACGCATAGGTCAGCGGCAGGTGCGGGGTGCTCCCTGCGCAGCGCCCCTACCCGGCGCGCGCTGCGGAGTGCCAGGTCGCACCCGCTCGCGACCCCTCCAGTGTAGCTCCCACGAGGCCCCCTGCCTGCGTCCCGAAGGGCAGGGCAGAAGGCGGGCCCCAGCCCCGGCCACAGGGTGCCTCTAGTCCTGGATCCCTGGGTGTGGCAGTGAGGATCCACAGGTGCGAGCCACTGAGCGGGCGCGGGGCGGGGCGGGGCGAGGAGGAGGGGGTCCCAGCTGGAGCACCCGGGCCCCGCCCACGCAGGAGGGCGGGGCTCTGTCCGGAGGGCCGGAGGGCAAGCGCGAGGGAGTCCCAGCTTCCACGCCACGGGTCCATGCAAAGCACAGCTGCTCAGCACCAGTGGGCTGGCCCGAAAACACCGTAGGCAAACTAAACTAGCCAAACTTCCTAACACCACAGAGCTCAGTGCAGGGCAGTGCAGCCCCGCAAGCGCAAGGGCAGCGACCCTCAGAGCGCAGTCAGCTCAGCACACCACTCTTCCGGTGGAAAGCAAAAGGCAGTGGTTCAAGGTTTGGGGGAGCGCCAGGCACGGGTGACAGTGGATGTGACAGTGGGGAGGAGGAGCTGGGGACGTGGGCCAGGGGGCCAGCACGCAGGCCAGAGTGGCAGGGAAGTCCCATATGGGCTCACCACTCAGGCGGACCCCTCACAGGGGCGAACAGGGGCTGCTGCGAGTCCCAGACAGCCCAGTCCTTGAGCATGGCGGTGGGAGGGGGTCTGAGGGGTCACCACCTGCCTGTTGCTTCTCCTCGGCTCACCCCCCAACACCTACGTGATCTCAACCAGGCCCCACGCCCATTGCAGGATTGCCACAAGCCCTTTCTCAAGGGTCCCACCTCAGCAGTGCACGGCCTCGCATTCTGTGCTGCAGGGTGCAGCAGGCAGTGTGAACACTGCCCACCCAGTGAGGCCTCTGCCTGCTGGCTGCAGATAGAAGACTTCCTGGACAGTAGCCCTGGCCCAGCAGCCATGCAGCCGTGATCCCTGTGATAGGGGATCCCAGGGAGCCCAGGTGGCCAAGGCCGTCGGGCAGCCTGAGAAGCCTAGAGGGAGCCCTGGCAGGCCAGGCCACCTGGAAGCTCATCTTGCTGGGGAGGAAGTGTCCAGAACAATGTAATTACAAACGAAAAACGGGGTGGGGGAGGGCCTTAGAAGGGGATTTGGGGCTGTCACTGCACAGCCCTGCAGGGATTTGGCCATCATCTCCCCTTCTGTTTTTGCACAGCAGTTTCCTTAGGTCTGCCATACCTAGTTTTGCCTCTCTGGTGGGAAGCCCAGCTGTCTCCAAGAAGCCATAGAGAGCCCACCTTTGGCTGAGAGGCTCCCCCATGTTCTGACTGTGTGGGGTCAGGCATTTAGGGCACTGAATGCAAATTCCTCGCAGATACTCCCTGTCCTGCAAAGCCACGAGTCCTGGCCTCTGGGACTCAGCACATTCCATGTGCTGCTGGAGCCTGAGGAAGAGGGGCAGAATCACAGAGGAGGGGTGAGCAGTGATGAGCATGAGGCCCACCCCGCTGCTGTCACAGAGGCCCTTAAGGTGAAGGGGTCTTCTTCTGGTGACTGGCATGGAAGGTCCGAGTCCCCAAGAACGCCCAGAGGGAGAGATGCCTAGAGGGTCTTCAAGGCCCAGGCCACAGAGTTCCCAGGAAAAGTGGCCATTCCTGGACTGTCCATTCCAGAGGGCTCTGCAAACCTACACCCTCCCTGACCTTTTGCCCTACCCTAGCCCCATTCCTCACTCTGCACCCCCCAAACCCTGTACTGTTAGGTTTTTCCTTGGCCCAGTAGAGAAGCAAAAGCAGAAAAAGAAAGAAAAGAAAGAGGGGAAAAGGCTTTTATTGCAGATTCCAGAGGGCTGCAGAAGAGCGGAAGATCCCTCTGAGGCAAATAGAGAAGCCCCTGGGCTTTTATTCAGCCTGACAGAGGGTGGAGTCTGAAGGGGCGGGCACAATGACGTATGGACAACTGATTGGGGAATGCTGGTACCTGTGCACAGGCAGAGGGTTTCATTTCAGCTTGGAAGAAGAACGTGGAAGTCAGTATTGAGGGCGCACACTGTCATCTTTAGGGTCCAGCGCATGTTGGGCAGGTGCTGTGCTGAGCCTGGCCGAGCTTCACAAGGGTGGAACCCATCATTCCCATCTTTTGGTTGCTAGGGGGCAATGACTCTCTCAGACTGCCTCCTGCTGAATGGGCATCCTGATGAGGACTGATATCCTCACTGTGATGATGGACATCGCCCATATAGAAGCTGGTGCCTGGGGTGTCAGCCAGGATGAGATGTTCTCTGGTAATGGAGGCCCACATCCCAGATTGAATAAATCTTGAAAAAAAGTTTAAATAGACAAGGAGCTATAAACAAAAAATAAGTAGCATGAGGGGTCCTGCAAGGAGAGAAGATAGGGGGCCCAGCCTCCTAGGGAAGACCAGATGGAAAAAATCTTTGTGAGAGGCCTCCTTCATTATCTTATGACATTTTTATAAATCTTTTGATTATATATGCTTAAGACCTGCTATATGCTTAAGACCTGCTATATGCTTAAGACCAAGTTCAATTGAGACCTGCATTAATTAAAATTAACCTCTTGCTATTTATCAAGGTTAGTCAAATCTGCCTTGGAACCATGTATGGAGCCTCTCAGTTTTTGATAGTGCCAGCCATCAGGATGAGTCACAGCCAGTGTTTGACAAAAGTTGTTTTTTGTGAAAGCTTGGGATATTTTCCCCCCTGGTGACTCTCCTCAGACCCACTCTATATCATAGATCACTTTCCTCTGTGGTCTCACAGTCTCCTTAATCAGAAGACCAGGGACTCACAGAGTTATGAGATGTCACTGTAGAGATTCTCTTATACCTGGGTCTTCACTGACCTCAGAGGGCTGGAGCCAAAATACTGGCAGTCCTCGTAGTCCATCTGACTTCTTAGTTTTTGGTCTTCAAATCTCAGATGTTGAACATCCAGAAGAAAATACTGATAACATTACAGTGTAATAAGGCAGTAAGCTTAACATTATTACCATATCTTAATACCAAGCACCCTAGAACACAAAGTAGAACTGTTATTTCTATCAACCATAGATGTCTTAGTATTTAAATCCCTGTAGAATGTTAACAGTTACATATTTTTCACAGAAAATTTGAAATCAAAACCATATATAATATTATAGTATGACAGTTACCACATTTTACAACAATTTGAATTTGCATTTGGGCATAAAATACCCCGTTTAGTCAATTATTCCTATCTAATACATAAAAAGCTTTTCTCTAACTTGTTGACCTTTGGTGAGATATACATCACATAAGTTTTTATTAAGGGCAGAGGTCAGAATCTATTGCCATAAATAATCTCTGTTTTACATTTTTGGAAGACCTGTACATGTGGAAGCATGAATACATTAATACACTATGAGGTTAATAACAATCTGTCATACCTATATTTAGACCTTTATATCAGAGCATCTTTAAACCAAAAAATGTATTACATTATTTCTTTTGATGATGACCAATGTGAACATACTACTTTTTTTTTTTTCTGGTGCCAGGGATCAAACTGATGACCTCACATTTGCCAAGCAGGTACTCATGCCGCTGAGCTAACCCCCTGAGCCCTCATATTACATTTTTTTTTTGTCTTTTTGCAGTACCAAGGATTGAACCCACAACCTCATGCTTGCCAGGCAAGCACTATGCCACTGAGATAAATCCCTAGCTGTGAACATTTTACAATAATTTATTTTTGTAACTTTAGTTTGGAAGTCTTTCATAAGGTTATGGAGATTGATTGAGTGATTGAGTGACATATAGACAATCTATATATATTGCACACAGAAACATTCACAGTTTAACAGACATATTATAAACTTAGATGCACTCAAATACATTTGGCTACTTTGAATTGTAATTACTTTTATAGTTTTCACATTCATAAGTATAAGTAGACTAGTTAGAACATTTTTGCAGGTCAATTAACAGAGAGTTCTTATACTAATCAAAAGGAATAAAACCTTTTATATCTGTGAAAGCAAAGACAGTTATTAAAGCAAAGAAAGCCATTAGGAAGTCATAGGAATTAATGCCAAATTTGAGCTCTTTATATATAGTCATGGAGAAGCAGCTTAGTCTATGAGAGAGTTGCGATAGGTTGCAAAGGAGGACCTGCCCCCACAGACTGGAAGGGGCAGCAAGCAGGCGGCCACCCGGGGTGGCAGAGGCTGGGAGGAGGAGGTCCGGTTTGATGGGCAGCCAGGAGCAAGGCGACAGAGGGGTGGAGGAGAAACAGAGGGAGAAGGGAGAAGGGAGGGAGGAAAGGATGAGGACAGAGAAGAACAGGAGGTTTTGTGGAGAAATGCGGGGGAGGCAGAAGGGACCGCGGGACCATCCGGTGACGAGGTGACCGTATGGAGTAGGCCAAAGAGCTTGGGCTGCTTCACATGCCTGAGTGAAGAAGGGAAATGCCCTGAGAGCAGAAAAGGCCTGGACAGAAGGAATCCCTACCTACTTGTCATTGCAATAGGAAAATTGTCGCGAGCGTGGAAGGTGACATCATCAAATGTCTCCTCTGCCGTGTGGCAGGCGTTATTGAGCTTGTACTGTGGTCAAACAATCTGGTGTATAAACAAAGTAGCTTTTTAGGCTTAATATCTTTTTGGACACTGAGAATTTTTAGTTGTCTTAACAGGCACTCGAGCGGCATGTCTTTTTTGGGTTGGGAAGAAGCGTTGCTCATTGTGACCAAATCAGAGGTGAGCCAGAGGCTACAAAGGCTGAGCCACCAGGCCTTGAAGAGTCGTCACCCTTCTTAGGATTGTGTGAGAGAGAACCCCCCAACACCTGCACCTCGGTTGTCACCGAGGGAACGAGATCCAGGAGCCTGAAGGATGTGGTCCAGAGGATGTGAGGGAAATCCTGACATGAGCTCACAGTTTGGGAGACCGGAGCCCTGAAGTGAGAGGTGGCTCCCCTGTGAGAATCGAGGTGGGTCGCTGTAGGATGGAAGATAGAAACAGCAGCAGCAGAGATGAGAAAAACGGGAGCAAAAGAACGAAAAGAGGCGGCTTGTTGACCGGGGAGGCCACACCGGGGTGGCCCTGGGAACCACTCGTCCCATCGAGCTGAGTCATGGCACCAAAAATACCAGGTTTTTCCTTGGCATGGTAGAGAAGCAAACGGAGAAAAGGAGAAAGGCCTTTACCTTAAGCATAGGAGGACTGCAGAAGAGTGCACGGTCCTCCGAGGCCAGAAGGGGGCTTCTGTTTGGTTAGACAGAGTTTGAAGGGCGGGCAGAATGACTGACTGACGGCTGATTGGGGGAATGCCGGTGTGAATGCGAGGCTTGGTTTGGAAGAACTCGGAAGTTAGTTTTGAAGGGACACCCTGGCATCTTTCGGATCCAGTGCCATGTTGGGCAGGTGCCATGCTGGGCCTGGCAGAGTGTCACACAGGCAGAACCTGTCATATATCCTCATCTGTACCCTCACACCACGACACTCCACACCTCCCACACACTCTGCTCTCCACACCCTACACCTTCTACACCCTGCAGCCCTGACCCTGAGCTGGCCTGGCCCCAGCTCCAGCTGCACAGGCACCGCCCGACTGTGTGCCCTGCCTGGGAAGCCCCGTCCCTCCGACATCCCTCATCTCCCTCCCAGTCCCACACCCTCTCCCTCCCTCCTCCATCTTCAGCGTCCACAGCTCACAGCCCAGGCCAGGTGAGAGTGCTGCAGCAGCCAGCCAGAGCCCCCCAAGTCGCAGACCTGGGCCCTCCCCCTGGAGGTGCTAGCTGTATTCTCTCCTTCCTCCCCTCACTCATGAATACACTGGACCGGCCAGGCAGCCTTGGTGCCCACCCTGACCCTGATTCTGCCACTCACCCCAACTAGGTGGGATTGCAGAGTGCGGGGAGGCACGTTGGGGATCACTCTGGACAGGGTCGGATGGCCCAGCTCCAAATCCCACTAAGGACTGACCGTGGGCGTGATGCTGAACCTCTCTGTGTAAGAGCACTGTAGCCCCAGTAAGGACAATGACCAGGTGACCTGGGGTGAGGCAGGCGCTGGGTGCCTGGCTGCAGCTGGCTGCAACAGCCCTAGGCCCATGTCTGGAGGCCACAGCTATGGGGGTCTCTATGACGGGCGGGGGTGTACCTCCCTTCTCCAGGGTGGGGACCACCCTCCTGGCCCAGGGATACTGTGTCCACAAGATCAGCAGATCCTGAGTGTTCGTGCTCCCCAGGTTCAGGGATGACTGATGACCAACTAGTCCATCCCTGGCTAGGGGCCGGTGCAGGTTGGCAGTGGGAAGGAGACACTGTGGCACCCAGGCCAGGACAACAGAACCAGGCTGTGGAGAGTGACTGGGCTGGACACCATGAGGTTCTGGGGGTGTGGACCTGTCCTGTGTCTGTCAGTGTTGTAGCTTGGCATAAATGACGCCAGCTTGAGCCCTGCATTTCGCTAGTGCCCTGCATTCAGGAAAATGGAAAACTACTCAGGGTACAAGTCCCAGGAGAAAAGCAGAATGAGCTGTATCCACAGGAGAAAAATTAACCTGCTCAACAAAAGCAGCAGGACACAGGTGTCAACCAAAAATTAATGAAAGATTCGAGCTACACTATTTCCAACAGGGTGTCTTTTGTGATTCTCTCTTCAAAACTCTGTAAATTTCCAAGGTGGGAGAGGGTGTCTGCATACAAGTGGTCCTGAGCTCAGGCTGCTTGGATTCCCATGTTGTTGTCCACAAACCCACCTTATTTGGGGGCACGCCTAGATTATAGGATCCAAGCCTCTGTTTGAGAGGATTGTTCCTCAGGGGGACTGCCCAGAGACGGTCCTCATCCCTAGGAATCTCTTTGTTTCAAAGAGAAAACAAAACCCCTGGATGCTAATTCCAAGGGAGCAGTCCAGATTCTTACCGTAAGATTGTTGTATTTTTTGTCGTGGGTGTCGCTTGGGGGTCTTTGGAGACTCTGGATGCAACATTAGTTTCCAAGACCATTCTCAGACCAAGACATTGGCTGAAACTGTTGGCCAAAGGTCAAACTAGTTTTCAGTGTCAGTCTGTTAGTCTCTGTCTTTGTCTTGTTTGTCACCAGTTTAATGTTTGTTATTCACGTAATTGGCTCAGTCTGCTTTTGCTTTTTGTTGTCTTTGCAATGTGTTCTTACCCATTTTCAGGAATTTTGTTGGAGAGCCTCTTCCTATGGTGAACCTCTTTACCCAGGGAAGCGCCAAACTTTTTGTGAATTTAAATGGCCCGCTTTTGGAGTCTCTTGGCCTCCTCCGGAAGGGACTTCTAACCTCTCTTTCTGTTAGTAGGTCGACCTCAACTCTGAAAACAACAACACTGCTGCCTCCGCAGCTGCCGCTGCTGCTGTTGCTGCTGCCGCCACCGCTGCTATAGCAGTAGGTAGAGGGGTTACCTGCCCCTGCCTGCAGGCCTCACAACTGCTGTGTGCCCCCGCACCCCAAAATCTGAGGGTTCCTACTGCAGAGAATATCGGGCCACCCCTCCTCTTCCCTGCATGCTGAGCTTTCAGCAGAGCATGGCATCTTAACTGTTTCCTGGCACAGCAACAGCAGCAGCACCAGTGACCAGACAGCGGCAACCCCAGAGGAACCAGAGCCAGAGCCAAAGCCCACACCGTGTGGCCAGGGCAATGATGGCTTCCAGCTCTCCGGGCCAAGAGCACGGCAGCAGAGTGACTGTAGTGCCCCTTTTCTGGGCTTCTGCCCCAAGCTCACACTATTCCAGGTAAGGAAGCTCTCCTACGGTTTCACCAGACTCTGTGGGTGCTTTTAAAAGCAGCTGCTTGGAAGCCAACTAATCTGTCTAAGCAGAGGTGAGTTAGGGACCTGACCAGGCTCCAGCTGCGCTCTGGGAGCGCCTCCTATGCACCTATTGATCCGCAGGCACCTGAGGATAGACATGCCCTAAATATTGCATTTGTCTCCCAGTTGGCCCCAAATATTTAAAAAAGCTTTAAAGGCAAAGGTAAAGCACTCTCAGAGTTAGTGGAGATAGCTCAAAAGGTCAGCTTCTTGGTAGACACAGGAGAGAGCTATTCAGTCCTACAACAGCCAGTGGGTCCCTTGACTCAAATCAAGACGAGCAGTCAGGAAACAACTGGAAAAGTAAAGGCTTACCTTACCCATGGACTCAGGCCAGCATCACGGACTTGAGCAGAGGGCCCCTGACCCACTTCTTCCTTGTCATGCCCGAATGTCCTTACCCCTGATCGGAGGAGACTTGCTCTACAAGTTACAGGCTCAAATCTCTTTTGAGGGCACAAACCCCTCGGTGACTCTTGGGTTTCACAGAGAGACTAGAGACCTTAGGGAGCCAGATCTGAGTGACCCCCTCTCCTCCTTCTGCTATTCTTTTTCTTGCCCCTTGACTAAATGACACTTGTTTCTGGTGGACTCGCCCCTGGAAGACTCCCCTCCAACTTTGTTGCTAAAGAGATTCATGGGGTCTGGACAGTATCCAACCCACTGGACTGGCAATCAGCCTTGTTGTCAACCTTAATCCTGAGGCCACCCCAATCCAGGCCTGCCAATATCCACTCAGCTTAGAGGCCAAGGAAGGAATTTCCAAGCACATTCAAAGTCTAAAAGAGGCCAGTATCTTGATTACTACTGAGTCAGCCTGGAACACGCCTTTGCTATCTATCCAGAAGCCTGGGACTCCAGACTGTCGGCCTGTCCAAGACCTCCGAGAGGTAAATGAGAGAGAGTCATGACTCTGCACCCTGCTGCTTCTAACCCATGCACTTTGTTCAGCTTGCTGCCTCCTATACACACCTGCTTCTCCACATTGGGCCTGAGGGATGCCTTCTTCTCCCTTCCATTGGCTCTGATAGGGCAACCCCTTTTTGCCTGTGAATAGACCCTTAAATGGGGGAATCCAGACAACTGACCTGGACACATTTACCTCAGGGGTTCAAAACGCACCAACTCTATTTCATGAGGCCCTGAGGAAGGACCTACAGGATTTTTGGTCAGAACATCCCTGTCACAGTTCTTCAATATGTAGATGATTTACTACTGGCCACCAAAGACTTATCCTCTTGTCTGGAAGCCACAGACGCCCTACTGAGACTTAGCCAAACTGGGCTATCGAGTCTCTGCCAAAAAGACAGCTCTGCCTGCCCAAAGTCACTTATCTGGTGTATGTATTAAAAAACAAAATGGGCTTTGTAAGATAAAAGGATTGAGGCTATCTTAAAAATCCCTTCCCCAAAGACTAAACATCAGATTAAAAACTTCTAGGTGCTTTGGGCTACCTCTGGGTTTTGCTGAAATGGCCCAGCCACTCCACACCTCTACTGGAGGGGATCCATCTGGACCTCTAACCTGGACTGAGTTAGAGGAACAAGCTTTCAATGATTTAAAACAGGCTCTTGTGAATGTTCCAGCCCTGGCTCTCCCTGACTTAGCCAAACCTTTCCAATTACATGTGGCCGAGCGTCATGGGATAGCAAAAGGGGTCTTAACCCAGGACCTAGGACCCTGGAAGAGGCCCATCACCTACCTTTCCCGGTGCTTAGACCCCATGGCTGCAGGGTGGCCAAATTACCTACAGACAACTGCAGCCACTGCAACCAAGGAAGCCACTAAATTGACTATTGGCCAGAGACTCCAGATAGTGGGTGGAGACACTATTGTGGTCACCTCCTGATAGGTGCAAGCTTCCCAATGTTCGCATTGTCCAGCACCAAACTCTTTTACTGGATACTGACCGCACTGAGTTCCTATCTACTTCTGCCCTCAATCTAGCGACTCTCCTGCCTGATGATGACCCCTCAGTGCTGATACGTAATTGTATGGACATTATTGACTCAGTCTCAAGCCTGGGAGCTGACCTGACTGATGTCCCGCTTGTCCAGCCTGAAGCCTTCCTTTTTACAGATGACAGCAGTTACCTCTAAGGTACACAAGTGGCAGGAGCTACAGTGACCACTGAAACTGAGGTAATATGGGCCCAAGCTTTAGGGTTGGGAACTTCAGCTCAGTGGGCAAAACTGCTCAAGCCCTAAGATGGGGACAAAAGTTGGTATACTTTCGCTACCATCTATGTGCATGGGGCCATTTATCAGAAAAGAGGACTACTAACAAATCAGGAAGAAAGATCCATTATCCATTGTTTGGGGCACCAACGAGAAGACACCCCAACAGCTCATGAAAATGAGCTTGCTGTTGAGACAGCCAGAAAGATGGCACTAAAACCAGTGGGGCCTACAATGCTCCTCCCAGCTCTCCCACCACCCATGCTACTGAAGTCATCCTACTCAGATTCAGACTTGAGACCAGCCAAGAGCCTAGGAGCCCAACTTTCTCTGGAAGGCTGACAGATCGTTGGGACCCCAGCTCATCCAGGAGACCCATCAGCCACTCACTTGGGGGAACCAAATTAGCTAAGGTATCTTGTCTGACTAAAGAGATCACCAAAAGTGCCCACAGTGTCTTCAAGTGAACCCTAAGCTGGCCACCACTGATGTTCGAAAGAGACACTGAGGACTCAACCCTGGAGACCACTACGAGATAGACTTTACTGAAATGGGCCCAAGAGGGAGACATAAATATCTCTTAGTTCTTGTAGACACATTCACCAGATGGCTTGTGGCACATCACTCTGACTGAATCAGCAATCATCATAGCTAAGAAACTCCTCTCTAAGATAGTGCCTCAATTCGGTATGCCCACCTCCCTGGGGTCTGACAATGGCCCAAGTTTCTTAACTCAGATCACTCAAATTTAGCTGCAGCTTGAGAAATCAGTTGGAAATTACATTGTGCCTACTGGCCCCAAAATTCAAGCCAAGTATTGAGAACAAACAGAACCATAAAGGAAATTATTTCAAAATTGGCTCTTGAGACTGGTAAAAATGTTGAACCCCAAAAAACGAGGCCCCAAGATGTTGTTCAAAAAAGGGGGCAAGACATCTTTAAAAGAAGCACTTTGCCGGGCGTGGTGGCTCATGCCTGTAATCCCAGCACTCGGGAGACTGAGGCAGGAGGATCGTTGCAGGTTCGAGACCAGCCTGAGCTACAAAGTGAGCTCATGGCCAGCAGTGAACTGCATAGAGAGACCCTGTCTCAGACACAACCTGTGTTGGAATCTGCAAAGCTGCGTAATCAGGTTAGGTTACAGGGCATTTTTAAGAGGAAAAACCACAAAGAAGAGAAAAGGGGAGGGACCTTATACAAAAAGGGAGTTATCTCTGCAAAATGTTTTACAACCAGGGCCAGTTGGTCCCGGGACCGAGTATTTTATAATTAGTGGTCAACAAATTTTTTACAACCTAACGGTCAGTTGGTTCAGGGACCAAACTGCTGTTCTGGAAGGAGATAATTCACAAGAGTCGAAACAGGTCAGGGTAATGACACAGGATAGTGGCGCCTTAGCCAGGTTACAACAAAAATTGGGTAAGTCTCCTTCCTCTTGCCCTTCTGGTTGTGCGATGTATCCCCTACCTCCAGGACATCAGTCCTAAGGCCAACCGCCCTCTTTGATCCCCGTGTCCAAGCTGATAAGTTGGCTGCAGTCACTAATGGGGAACTTGTTAAGTCCTTACCGGCTCTCCAGCCCTTCCTGCATTCAATCCACAGCTTGTTCCAGGGCCACCAGACCTCCTGAAAGACCTGATGACCCCCCGGCAGATCAATCTGGTGATCAAATTTATATCAGAAGGAGAGGCCCACATCCCCAGGCGCCCGCTGGGAAGGACCCTAGACAGCCACCTTGAGTGCTCCCAAGGCCGTCACGGCTGCTGCAAAGAGCCATTGGATTCATCATTCCCACTTCAAGTCTGCAAGACCAGAGACTCTAGCTAAGTGGACCAAAAGTAAAACTCCAAAGATGTGGCCCTAAGTCTGTTTACCCAGACAGACCTAAGTCTGTCCACCTCAAACCTGGATTCCAGTTCCTCATACTAGTGGAGACAGGGACCTAAGTCCCTCCCTTTGGGAAACATTCAGGGCTCTGGACTTTGTATTCAGTATGTAAATTTCCCCTTGAAGCACTCCTCATTCTGAATTAATCGTAATTCAACTGTGTATGACAAAATGTCTCTTACCCCCTCAACCAACACTTGGTCTCCCCGCCCGGAACTCAGTTTGCCTGTACAAACGGCCTCACCTCTTGCACTCACCTGGCTGTCTTTACTGGACCTAATCCTGAGCTCTGTATCTTCACTCAGGTTCTTCCCAAGTGTCCTGGTATTCTGGAGGAGGGAGGGAGGGAGCATATGAGGTCCTCATGAGAGAAAAAGAGGGCCCCAGTCCTAGTTCCTGTCCTTTTGGGATTAGAAGTAACTGGTTCCACAACACAAGGAACCACAGCCCTCATAATGAGAGGCCAAAATTACCAGATACTAAGCAAAAAATAGATTGGGATCTAGCACACTTGAATGTAATGTCTGCCGCTTGGAGAAGTCTCTAAACTCCCTGGCCGAGATGGTCCTTCAGAACCAGTGAAGCCCAGACCTCCTATTCTTAAAATGGGGAGGTCTATGCCTAGCCCTTGGTGAATCATGTTGCTTTTACACCAACCATTCAGGAGTTATTAGAGACAGTCTTAGCTCAGAAGGTGCCTAGCTGATAGGAAAAAAGAGAAACATCATCAACAGAGCTGATAAGAAAATCTGTTCACCACCACCCCATGGCTGAGCACCCTACTCTTGGTTCTGGCAGGATCATTCCCAATATCCCAAACCAAGTCCAATCTGTTTTGACCAGGAATCAAGGATTTGATTCATCCACTAAAACCAGTGGGGAATGCTGAAGCCATCTTAAGCCCTACATTTAACTGGTGCCCTGCATTCAGGAAAATGGAAGATTACTCAGGGTATAAGTCCCATGGGAAAAGCCGAATGCGCTGTACCGCTGAAGGAACAGGAGAAAAATTAACCTGCTCAACAAAGAAGCAGGATACAGGTGCCAAGCAAAAAATTAATGAAAGATTCGAGCTAAATTGTTTCCAAAAGGGTGTCTTTTGTGATTCTGTCTTTTTAAAACTCTAACTTTCCAGTTTGGTGCCACTTGTTTGGACCGTGAAAGGGGAGGGACTGAGCTTAGTTAATTAAATTCCAAATTTATCAACTTGTCTGCTTAGATTCCTATATTGTTGTACCTTAGTCAGTACCAGGCTCCTGGTGACACTGCGCTGCAGATGCTGGGAGGACTGTTGGTGAAGGGTCCCGAATCTGCTCCCCATACAACTGTATGGGAATCCACCCATCTCACAATGAAACGTTCCATTAAAAAGATGGGAAATCAGGAATAAGAAACAAAGTGGGGCGGGGTGGGGCGCTGGGGGGTACATGGAGGAAGAGCTGCTGCTCCCCCACCCCCGGGATCTCCTGCTGCTTTTGGTGCCCTCCCCGCGCCCTGGTGCCAGCCCCTCCCAGACCTGAGACAGCGACCCTTGGTCCAAATACTCTAGCTCTCATCCCCTGGACACTTAAATGAACAATGACCAGCAAAGCCTGTAATCCAGGCACTGGGGAGGCTGAGGAAGGAAGATCACTGTGAGTTCAAGGCCAGCCTGAACCACACATTGAAACCCTGAATCAATGGGGCAAAAGGAAACAAAATACCAAAACCGAAATCGAAACCGAAACCGAAGACTATTTGCTTTTTTTTTTTTTTTTTTTTACTATTTGCTTTTACTGAGTTAGAGCCCAGGCTGGGAGGGAATGGGCACCCCACCCACCCACCCACCTCTGCCTCCTGAGACCGCTGCCCTCAGGCCTCCGGGGTAGCAGGACTGGCTGATCTGAAAGCCACCTCCCAGGGGCGGGGTCACGCCCAGGCTAAGGGGGCTGCGGCTGGGCTGACCAGCAAGCTGGGCAGACTCGACTAGGGACAGCATTCTCCTGGGAAAGTCGCCCGACTTCCGGTTGGAGACAGCACCGGGACTCCCTCCGCTCTCCACCCGCCCCAGGGTGAGGCGGGCGCCTCGGGGTGTCCCGCACGCCGCTAGAGGACATCGTTTGGCTTCCTGGTGGGGGTGCTGGGTGGCGACCCCACAGGTCCGGAGTACCGTCTGGTGCACAAGCGTGCACAAGGACCTGCCGAGGGCTCCAGGGGGAGCCCCACCCCGGCCCCGGGTCGCCTCTTCTCCACCCCCGCAGAGGCTTGGAGCCCCGGGGAAGCCCCGGGGAGCCCCGGGCCAGCGCGGTGCGCAGGGGCCGCAGCCCCGACTGTAAGGAGCCCTGCAGCCCGCAGCCCGCCCAGCCGCCGCCTCGTCCTGATGCGGGCGCAGAGAAGCCAATTCCGAGTCCCGGCCCCGCAGGCCGGAAGGGGCGTCACAATGGCGTCCGGTCCCCATGGTAACCGGGGGCGGAGGGAGAGGCCATCGCAGAAGGGATTGGATAGTTTGCCGCGGGGCTCCGTCCGCCTAGAGGCCCCGCCCAGGCCGGGGAGGTGGCCTGGCTCTCAGAGAGTGGGCTGGGTGCTCGGGAGAGGAGGGGGTAGGTAGAGGGGCTCGGGGCGGAGGCGCGGGGGCTGGGAGCTGACCAAACTGAGGGGCGGAGATCACTGGGACAGGTTGTCTGGGAGAGGCCGCCAGGGGGTCAGAGGTGAACGGGGTGAAGCCAGCCTTGCAGCCGCTCACTGCTTTTCCTAGGCTCGGGATGCACCACCCCCTCTATTGACACTCAAGAGCTGGGTACCTGGGTTTGGGGACAAGGGGTGCAGGATGGACTGTGGGGTCAAGTGTTCAAACCTTGGAACCAGCATGAAATAGTGCTGTGCACCTGTAGTCCTACCTAGTGAGAAGCTGGAGCAGGAGGATCTCTCGAGCCCAGGAGTTGGTGGCCAGTCTGGGCAACATAGAGATACCTTGTCTTCTTGGGGAAAGGGAGGCCAGGTGCAGGTGGCAGATATTGGTAATCCCAGCTATTCAGGAGACTGAGGCAGGAGAATCACAGGTCTGAGGTCAGTCAGTCCTGGAAATTTGACAAGACGCTACCTCAAAATAAAAAGGTAAAGAGGGCTGGAGGTGAAGTTCAGTGGTAGCTGCTTGCCTACTAAGCACCCACAGAGAACCAGCTCCAAGCTCTAGCCTCAGGCTGCCCTCTGTGAGGTGGGGGATGGGCGATGGGCCCTACCCCTGTGGAGGCCTCACTTGGGCTGTCAGTGAGCGCTTCTGGGTGCGCGAAGGCCTTCATGGGCAGTGAGGGCTCTGTACCAGGAGCTGGGACCATGGTGATTCCTCAGGGCCCTGTCCTCCGCTAGCCTCATATGACTCTGCTCTGCAAAGGTGGGGGGATCCCCAGGGGAACTGGTGGGTAAGGATGGTCCCTGAATGCTCCGAGGGGGATACCACACTGCTCAGAACCCGGTTCCCTTCATTGCAGTGAGGGCACTGCCGTCGCCCTCCCCTCCCCTGGCAGACGAGGAACGGAGGCCACAGCTGACGTGTGGCTGGGTTTCTGTCTGGACAGCTCTGCCCCCGGAGCCCACCTAACCCTGCCCTGTCTCATCACTGCGAAGGACGACTGGCCCTGCAGGAGAGGTTTTCTGGCCCCAGCTTTTGTCTTGATACACAGCCAATCCTCTGTCCCTCCACACCCCCTTCTCAGAGGGTTGTGCTTGGGGAGGGTGGAAGGCCAGTGTGGGGGCAGCAGGGAGGGTTAGGCTCGCCTGACTCTGCAGCTCACACACAGCCCTCCCTACCAGCTCCCAGACAATGACCTTCCAGGTGGCAGGCCTAGGCCTAGACAAGATGAAGCTGGATAGTCCGCAGTCTTTCCTGGACACAGAGGAGGTGGAGGAGGTGGAGGATCAGCAGCTGCTGGAACCGGAGGCATGGAGGACCTATATGGAGCGCCGCAACACCCTGCGCGAGTTTCTGACTGCAGACCTCAGTCCCCACCTGCTCAAGCGCCACCACGCCCGCATGCAGCTGCTTAAGAAGTGCTCCTACTACATCGAGATCCTCCCCAAGCACCTGGCTCTGGGTGACCAGAACTCATTGATGCTGCCCAACACCATGTTTCAGCTCATTGACCCCTGGAAGTTCCAGCGCATGAAGAAGGTGGGCACGGCGCAGACCAAGATCCAGCTCCTGCTGCTTGGGGACCTGCTGGAGCAGCTGGACCGTGGCCGCCTAGAGCTGGACTCCCTGCTTGAGTCGCCGGACCCTCGGCCTTTCCTGGCCGGCTGGGGGCTGGTGGAGCAGCGCCTGGTAGACCTGTCAGCCACCATGGACAACTTCCTGGCCATGATGGTGCCGAGCCGCCTGCATATCAAACACCGCTTGGTGTCTGACATCAGGGCCACCAAAATCCCACACATCCGGCTCATGCTGAGCACCAAGATGCCAGTCATGTTTGACCGAAAGGAGTCAGTGGCCCACTGGGACTGGGTCAGCCTGCGCTGGTTTGTCACCGTCCAGCCGGCAGTGCCGGAACAGTTCGAACTGCGCTTCAAGCTACTGGAGCCACGGACACAGCAGGAGTGCATGCAGTGCGGTGTCATCCCAGTAGCAGCTTGCACCTTTGAAGTCCACAACCTGCTGCCCAATCGCACCTACAAGTTCACTGTCAAGAGGGCGGAGAGCTACACACTGGTGTATGAGCCCTGGCGGGACAGCCTCACCCTGCAGACCTCTCCAGGGCCTCCTGAGGGCTTTACCCCCAGTCGGCTGGGCAAGCTCAGCCCGCCCCTGACTGCACCTTCTGAGAGATGATTTTCTAATATTTATCCACTAATAAAGAGGAGTATACATACGCTGAATTAAACAAACCTGCTTAGGGTTTAAGGTGGCAGCAGGTGTATGAGTGTTTTCCTCATAGCACAGCACCCCGTAAGCCCCAGAATGCCCTCAGCTCTTGCAGTCTTTTCCAGGGAAACCCCAGGCTGGACCTTCTGGACGGCTGGAAGTGCCATCTTCTGACACCTGGCTGCCACCTCCAGAAGCTCTGCAGCACTGCTTGGCCACCGCTGCCCTGGTGCGATGGCAGACTCAGCCTTACCAGGGCTGCAGGGACGTGAAGGGCACTAGGAGAAGGGGAGGGAGCCAACCTTTATCAGTCAGCTGTGACCCAGAGGAGTCATGTATTCCAAAATCTGGGCACCAAATAATGGGCGGGTAGGAGAGGTTTTACACTGCACTTTAAATGGGTTGGGTGGTCAGGGTTGAGCAGAGCGGAACTCAGCAAAGTCGAAGGCTGCAGGCAGTGTCCTGAGGTAAGTGCCATGGAGACAGGCGCTGATTGGCACATCTTCTGGTTGTAAGACAAGCACAAGAGAGGTTATGGAAAAAAAAGTTTGTGAGGCCTTGCACCCTGAGGCAGGAAGCGGGGGTGCTGTTTAAACTGAGTCAGTGCTCCCCAACCCCCATCGCTGCAACCAGGCTCCACTTTCCTACCTTCTAGGTGGGGCTCACTGAGAGGGATGCCATTTGGCTCGCCTCTGGACCCCACTGTGGGCAGTCACAGCCCTGATGCTGGTGTCCTAGGCTTCCCTGGAGCCAGGGTGCCAGGGACAAGGACACATGACTTTCAAAACCGAGTGCTTATGCTGTAAGAGCTGGTGCCCACGACATCCCCAGCCAAGAATGGTGAGGATCCTGACAAAGGAGCCTGTCCAGAGTCTCCCCAAGACAGCAGCCAGGGCTGCAGCTGCTGTGAGGAGGCTACCCCAACACCATAGTCCCTCCCTGCCAGCCCCACACAGCTGACCAGATCCCTTGCTGCACTGGGAGCCTCATAGTATCCCCCAGCCTGGTCACCGGATCCTGGCACAGCCAGCAGACACAGCCAGCAGGAGGAGATGCACCCCAGGTCCAAAAGGACGGCACCTTGTACCCTGCTGAGCCTGAGGAGAGCTGGCAGAAGAGCCCAGAGATACCCGCACACCCTTGGGCAGTGCTTCCGCCCACATTCACATAGTGGTCACACAAACAGCAGGCCTTCTGAGATGGTCAGGTCTGGAAGGGGCAGAGTGGTCAGGGACAGAAGGGTGGGGTGCCAGGGCCACCAGCTGTGTCAGCTGTGAAGGGTGTCCTGTGCCAGGTTGGTGGGGGCTCCCCTTCCCTGAACTCTCCAAGCCACAGTTCCTGTGAGCTGTCTGGGTCTGTCACCCTCTGTGGCATCGGTGGCAAAAGGGGACTCTTGTCTGGGTGCCCCACAGGACAGGGCCATCCCAGGGGCTCAGGGCAGGTCAACATGTTCCTTGGAAATGACCTTGTGTGGGGTGAAGACCATGGGATGCACAGAGGCCTCAGACCTCAGCACACTGACCTCCCGTCTGTCACCCTGGCCTGGCCTTGAGCCTCCACTGGCAGAGCCCAGGAAGCTGGCAATCCAGAGGTGGACAAGCATGGTGCCCACACTGGGTGGGGCAGTTGGTGCTAGGCACAGGCTCTCTCCGCCCGGGCTTCACACCATTGTCCCTGTCGCGAGCCAGGCTTTTTGCTCTTCTCGAGATTCAGCCATGCTCCCTGGCTGGTGCTGGCTCAGTTCCTAACCCACGGCAAGGCCGCTGGGGTTTCAGGCCCTTTCCTCTAGGAAGCCCTCCCTGACTCTAAGCTTGCCTCGGGGCGTTCACTTATCTCAGGAGAGATCCCAAAGCTGCCCCACTTCTATGACAGCCCCAGGAAAGGCCTCTCAGCAGCAGGTCCTGCCATGGCTCCCTCTCATGACACCTGGGCCCTGGAAACCTTTCTTCCCAGCATCCCTTTGTGATCTTTCGATCAGCCCCTGCACTTGCACAGGAGAACAGGACCCTGCCATGCTTTTCCTGTGTACAGCTGGTACAGGAAACAAGCCAAATGCCTGGAGTCCCAAGTTACTGTGGAGGGTGGGATGATGCCCAAGGGAGCAGATTCAGACCAGCAGGATGTTGTCCTCACCCCACAGCTGCAGGACCAACGATAGCAGGCTGTGTCCAAGCACCGAGCATAGCTCCCTGGCTATAGGCTGTCTGCAGCATGCCCACCCTCCCAGCCTCCTATGGCCTTGGACAGCTTGTGGAGCCAGGATTCTGTCCACCGTGAGCCCCTGATAGCCTCAATGGCCCTACCCCAAGAAGGGTGAAGGGTGGCCCTCTTCACCTCAGCCAGACCTCAAAAACACCAGAGGTAGCTTTCAGTATGGTCACTGTAATAAAATTAATATTTAATCATATGACACAGAGCTTGTAAGAGATACAAAAACTGGAATGTAGAAAGTTGATTCGTAAAGAATATTTCCATCAGCTAGGAAGCGTGCCAGAGAGCTCGTGGAGGCCACAGGGAGGCCTGGCACCTTCTAGTGTGGGCAGCTCTGGAGCAGCATCTTAAGACCTGGAGGGGAAACCTCAAGCAACTGGGCCCCTGGCCTGCACAGAGCACTGTCGCCACCCCACCTCATTTCCTCGACAGAGAAAGCAGCTTTGGGGCAGGTCATTCTGTCCAGAGAGGGTCTGGTGAGACATCAGCGTCCACTCATCATCCTGGAAAATAGGTCCATCAACTCTCAGCATGCAGAAAGGATTGTGAGACTCCTCAGAGTAAGGCACAGGTGGATGTGTTAGGCAGAGTTGAAAAGTGAGTGGAAGCAGAAAAAGGACTCTGGCCTAAACGACTGAAGGCAGGCAGACGGCCTTTCCCAAAGCAGTGAGGCCAGGCTTTCGATTTGCTGGAGTGAACTGAGCTTGGCTAATGTTCCTCTCAGCTCTGCTTTTGCAAGATGGCTCAGAGAGATGTCCTGTTTGCTTTAGGGGCAATTCAGATCTCGGTTTCTGTGTGGGCGGGCCTTGGTCTCGGGAGGCTCTGCTGGAATCCAGGTCGTCACAGGTTTTAGGGCAGCGGTCACCTCTGGGTCTAACTGACCATCCCTGCAAATCTCTTATCTTGGTATCCTGAGACTTGAAAGGGGGTGAGGTCGGTTGTGTAAACTTAGGGCTTGGCTCTGCTAACTGTTAGACTCTGAGTGACTGCATGCCCACCTGAACGGAGCAGGAGCTTAGCCCAAAGTTTCATAAAAGGAAGAGCAAGCTGAGTTCTGCTTTCAGCTATCTCTTGGGCATCTGTAGTCACTGTGATGGAGTCATAGACCACTGTAGGGAAAAAGACTAACTCCTGGCCCTTACCCAGACACTCATCAGAAACATGAGTTATGTTTTCTTCTGAAATAGTCAGGGTCTTAATTTTTTGCTAAAAACCGTAAGTCTTCATTTAAACCTACAAAGCCCGATAGGTTAACTAAAAGTAGAATAAAGTTTGACTTTCAAAGATAGGCTACAGGTCTGCTTTTTCTTTCGGTTTTTGAGATAGCATCTCGCTATGCAGCTCAGGCTGGCCTTGAACTCACTATGTAGCCTGGGCTGGCTCCATACTCTTGATAACCCTCCTGCTTCAGCCTCCTAAGTACTGAGATTCCAGACATGCACCACCACACCTGGCCACCATTTTTTCTTAAAGTCTACAAAGCTGATCAGCCTTAAATTTACCCAGTCTATCTTATCCCCCTTAGATGTAGAAGACACCAAGAGTAACTAAAGTACTTCTCAAGACTCACAAGGATATCCGATTCCCAGCCTTCCCCGTCCGGTTCCAGACCCTTCCCCTGAGGCAGTGACTGTACTCTTTAGCCACATCCTGAGCAAGGAGTGACCCTAGTACCAGAATGAACAGGGCCTCACATGACCAAAACTGTCACAGAGATAATTGCTTCATGAGGATGGAATCAGCCCTCAAGCCAGGAGGACTCCTGCAGAGCTAGAAAGCAGAGCTGAGACAGTGACCTATTAGAGTCCAGCCCACCTCTGCTGGCCCCACAAATCTGGCCCGGGCTCCTGAGCAGCTGGTCTGAGCCCCTGCACCAGGGTTTTCCCTACCACAGCCTGAGCTGGAGCCCTTTCCATATCTGCTCCTCCCTTTCTAAGAGACTGGCTTGATCTTTATCAGAAGTGTACTCCTCCTTATTTCCTCTTAATTACAGCCTTTTCCTGTAATTTCTGCTTTGGTTATAACTTCCATTATCACTGAAACAAGGACATGCTAGGAGGCGACAATTGCTGTTAAGTCCCTGACTACACAGAAGAAAGCACTAATCATGTTGATAAAGGAGTAGCAGTTAAAAGTCTGGTTTCACCTGTCCTCTGTCCCTATGGTGGTCTCTGACTATGTCAGTCCCAAGGACTCTGGGCAGGGGGCACACACAACTCAGGGCAGAAGCATGGCCTGGTGGGGCTGGGCACCTGGGACTGCACAGCCAGCGCTGCTCAGGATGGGAGGCTGAGCCAGACTGGTACAGGCATCTGGCAGGGCTCTGTCCTCCTCGTGCCTGTGGGCAGCCTCTGAAGGACAGAGGGCAATGGGGCAGAGGAAGGGCCTTTCCTCCAGGGAGAGGATCTGCCTGAAGCTCAGGTTTTGGGAGCTGTCTTGAGAAGAGCAGCCAAGCAGAGAGTAAGCAGGCCTGGTCCCACCCTTTCTCCCTCTCAAGTTCAGGCACAAACAGGAAGATCATGTGGGGCTTGCTTCCTGTCGTTCCAGTCTGCTGCCCGCCCAGGCCCACACCTCTGGCACTCAAAGGCTGGGTTGGCTAGGGTCTTCATGGCGACACCACAGGCCTCCTCCGGACCTGCACCTTGCTGGCAGGCACAAAGCTCTTTTGGGCTTTGCAGAAGTCCAGGAGACGGCACCACAGCGGGCAGCAGCTCAGCAGGATGTGGTCTCCTGGGAGAGAGACAGGCACCTTGCAGCCCCGCCCTGAGGCTCCTGGGAGCTCCCCCACCCCCAGGCCCCCCCTTTACCAATCAGGCAGAGCCCCTCCTGGGCCCGGGTCATAGCCACATTCACTTGGTTGGGGTCCACGACAAAGCCCAGGAACTTCCGGAGCCAGCTCTTGGTCGGCCGCTGGTCCACGTCACTCTTGGGGCACGTGCGGACGGTGCTCACCAGCACATAACGCCACTCGCTTCCTGCGGGAGGGGTTGTGCTAGAAGCTGTGGCTCAGGTCTGCTGCACACCCCAGCCGCCTCATCTGCAGCCTTCCCCACAGCTAGCCTCACCCTGGCTTTTGGTGATGGAGGACACAGTCACTCCTGTGATCCCCTGCCGCATAAGGTCCTTGTTGATGGCCGCAGCCTGTGCATTGTACGGTGTGAGGATGGCAATGTCTTTGGGGTCCACTGTCGGATCCAGTGTCAGCTGCTTGGTGATGCGGACCTGCAGGTACGATGGGGCAGATGGAACCAGACACAGAGCCTTAAGTGTTCCCTTAGCCCAACCGTCCTTCTTCCAGGAAACCTTCTTGGGCCCCTGAGATCGCAGAGAGGGCCTCTAACACCCACCACTTCTGCCACCTCCTGCAGGTTGGCCCTGGAGTTCTCATTCCCTTCCTCTGTGGTCACCAGGAGTCTCTGTTCATGGCCCTGCACATGGCCGAAGATGACTGGGCAGCTGTCCTTGTCCGCGTGGCCTAGGATGCTAGGCAGCCGCCTCAGGCCCTGATAGGTCCTCAGCTTCCCACCATAGAACTCCATGGAGGGGAAGGAGCAGATGACTTCGTGCATCCGGTACTGGGTGTCCAGCATGTAGGCGTCCCTGTGATAGCGCTCAAAGAGGGACTTATCCATCCCCAGGTTCCGCAGCTGCTCGTTCTTGACTACAGGCCGCAGCTGCTTGTGGTCCCCCAGGAGAACCACCTGGAGGCACAGACAGGCATGGGCCCAACACCCCTGACCCAGAGGGACACCCCCTCCCTGCTGTCTTGCCCCCCAGTAACCACTTCTGCACACCCTGGCACCCAGGACCAGCAGCTCCCGTGATTCCTGACTGGCCCTGTCCTACCTTCTCAGCCTTCGCAAAGTGCACGAGAGGAATGAGAATCTCGGGCTCAGTGGCCATGGCCGCCTCATCCACAAGGATCTGCTGGACCTTGAGGGAGTGGAGCCAGGGCGAGGCCGCACAGCAGCATGTGCACAGGATCACGGAGTGCCGGGCCAGCTCGAATTTCCGCGCTTCTCGCATGACCTTTCGGTACCTGCTCAGGACACTACGTGTCATGCTGTGGCTGGGCCAGCAGGCAGCACCGCACCCCAGCCAGCCCTGCCACTTACGAGCTGAGGTCCTCCCTGGAGAAGGTTTCCCCTCTCTTCACCCGGGTGTCAAACTCTTTGACCTTCTGCGAGAATGGGTTGGAGGCCTGTCGGATGCGGTGGTGCAGGGAGATGCTCCTGGGGTGGGAGGCAGAATCTCTGAACCCCTGTCCAGTGTCCAGAACCCACCCAAGGACAGACAGGCAGAAGGCTCACACCTGAGGGCCTGGTTTGGTCTCCCGTCCCTGGGGGCCTTGCTATGCAGAGCCCTGCTGCCCACACCCGGCGCTGGGAACTCGATGGCCTCGCACTGCTCGCCGTACACACGCAGGGGCTTCAGCTCCGCCTTCCACTTCAGGAGCATTCCTGGGGCAGTGGGAGGCGTGAGAGGGACACCCAGCTGTCCAGCACCTCCCGAAGCCCTGCAGCTGCCCCCAGCTCACCTGCCACCACATCCACAGACTTGTTGGAAGGGCCACAGTATAAGATGCACGGGCCCCACGTGGGCTCCTCTTCCTCACGGCTTTTCCTAACGGGCACTTGCTCCTGATTTGACTTGTGGAACCAGAAGATGATGTGGAGGCCCACCAGTGTCTTTCCTGTACCTGTGTGTGGCCAGAAGAAAGTGTGAACCGCACAAGTCTCAGTCCCCAGGTGCCCGAGATCTGTGCCTTTGTCGAGACAGCCCCATTCCCCACTGTGGGCCGTACCTGGTGGGCCCTGGATGACTGTAAATGGCTTCTCCAGAGCCTGTCTGATGGCCCTGTTCTGACTGGCATTTAGCTTGTGGCGGCCCCCATGGATGTCGTAGGTCTGTTGCTTCAGGAACCTGTTAGGTGTCCCTGGAGGGATGTGGGGAGCCCCCTGTGAGCGCCCATGCAGGACAGGGTGAGCCCGAGGGGGAGAGGAAGTGGGCGCAGACCTACCCCTGTGGAAGGACTGCTGGTGAGAGGGGGCACAGGGCTGGGGGCTGGGCCGGCCGAGGGCGATGCTGATGGCCAGTGGAGACGCCTTCTTCAGCTTCCGAACGGCTTCTTCCTTGCGGCTGTGGGAGGAGGCGAAACCGGAAGATCCACAGGACTGTCTCGGGAAGGGGGCTCCCACCCCCATGCCCTCTCAGCCTCTCCCTGGCCTCTGCTGTGAGGGCCACTCACAGGTCAGGAAGCTGTTTGAGTAGCACCTCCACTGTAAACAGGGTGCCGGGCCTCAGCACGTTTTCTGGAACTTTCTCCATAGCCATGTGGTGAATGAAGAAGTGCACCGCCCTGGGGGCCTCCTGCTGTTCTGCCTGGTCCTCCTGGTCACACCCGACTGTCAGTCCATGAGCCACCCAGGCATACGTGTCAGGATCGATGCTCAGGAAGGGGCCAAGGCTGCCAGAGCCAGAGGGCAGGCTGGCTGGTGGCACTGGGAGCCCTTCAAGCCGGATGCAGAGGTAGCAAAAGCTGAAGTCAACATCAGCGCAGTTCTCCTGGAGGAAGGCGGGGTCCAGGTGGAAGGAGCCCTGGAGCTGCCCCTGCTGTGTCCACTCTGCTTCCCAGGAAATGCACACGTGCTGCAGCACGATGGTCTCGTTCTCAGCAACAGCATTGGTGACTGACTCCTGGGCACAGAGGGGCTTCCATACAAGTGAGTACTCATGCTCATCATGGTACCGGTCCTGTGTGGCTTGGTGTGCGTGTGCTGAGAAGCAGCTGGCTGGATGCTCTGCATGCTCCAGGCAGAGACTGAAGCCAGGTGCCACGGTCCACAGCTGCAGGGTGGGCACCAGGAAGCCTCGCTGCATGCTGGCGCAAAGCTGGACCTGCAGAGTATCCCCGCTGCACAGCTCCCGGACCACCTCCAGGAAGTGGCCGCAGGGGCTCCGGTGCACCTGCACCATCTTCTTCCTCTGATACTCTCTCCCACTGTGCTCCTGAATCAGAGTGGCTGCCTCCAGCCAGCGCTCCTCCTCCACCAGGACCAGCAGCTGCTTCCACAGGGTTGTGTCAATGGCCCAGACGTGTGGGTCGAACAGGGTGCCAGGCAGCGGAGAGCGTGGCTTGGACTCCTGCACGGAGTAGACCCGGCGCCGCCACACAAGTTTTAGGCCCCGCCGATTCACGAGGTCATTAGGGTGCTCAACTAGCTGCAGGGAGTGATAGTGGACAGGGCACGGGTCTGGCAGGGTCTCTCGGTTGGCAGGGAAGAGCAACTTGAAGCAGCGGGTGCCTGGCTCCACATCTACTACAAAGCCCAACTTGCTTTGAGGCTGTGCCTTGAGGTGAGTGGCCAAGTGCAGGCTGCAGGCCCGTCGCTGGTAGCTCTGGGCACAGGCATACTGGCGGGCAAAGTCCTGGCAGAGTCTGTCAATGTCCCTGGAGGAGTATGTGGAACCCCCTAGACCCAGTGCCAGCAGGATCAGCCGCTGCAACACCACATCGAGGTACCTGCGGATGGGTGAGGTGGCCCACGTGTACCAGTCCACCTGCAATGAGTAGTGGCCGGTCAGCTGCTGTTCACCCTGGCTGGAGCGGCCAAAGACGGAGCGGCCCAGGGCCTTGCGGAGGTCCAGGCCTGCAGGAGCCAAGGAGGGGTGCATGTCGTCGGTGGTAATGAGATCTACCATCTGGCCATAGTCCTGGCTGCGGGCAGCAAGCTGGACGTGCTTCCAGAGGGAAGACAGGAGGTACAGCTGTGGTTGGGAGCTGCTGTGGCCATGCAGGTGGTGGCGGAGGTACAGTGACAGGGGCACCAGCTCTCTGTGCTTCTCGCACACGGCTTCGAGCTGGGCCGTGAGAGGCACGGGCTGCCATCTCAGGGGCGTGAGGGTCTGTGTGTGCTTGTTGCCCACGAGGAATTCAGCCACCAGACTGTTAAACTGAATCATGTACTCTTGAACCATGATGTGGGCTGCACGGAAGCCCAACGCGCTGTCCTCATCTGGGGGCTCGTAGTGACAGGCAGCTTGCAGGCGACGGCAGCGCAGCGCCCGGGAGAAGTAGCAGGCAGCCACCACACAGTCTTCCACTGAGTCTAGGCGAGCCGGCAGCCGCGTGCCAGTGCCCTGATGCTTCCTGATCAGCACCTCAGCTTCGTCGTAGGACAGCTGCCGGCTGGAGCAGATGATAGTGGGTGCAAAGCGCAGGTCCTTGAGCTGGCTGCTGCTCTTGTCCAGGGTGAGAAAGAGGGAGATGGCCAGGCGGTCCTTGCCTGGCAGGAGGCTGAGCACATCTTGGCACAGGCTGGCTGGCAGCATGGGCACTGGCTCCCTGTCAGGGGCGTAGAACACAGCACCTTGCCGGCGGGCCTCCATGTCTAGCACCCCACCCTTGGGCACGATACTGGCTACGTCAGCAATGTGCACAGCCACCTCATACGTGGAACCCAGGTCCCGGACACTGAGGGCATCGTCCAGGTTGCAAGCACCCTGGGGGTCCACAGTGAAGGTCAGGAAACTGCGGCAGTCCTCTCGGGAGCCAGCAGCGGTGCCAAGCTCTGCACGGTATTTCTGCAGTGCCTTGGAGATGGATGCTGAGTCCAGTGAGGAGGTTCGCAAGTCATGTTCCAGACCAAGGATGTTGAGGCCCTGCTCCCAGCCGGTGGCCTCAGGAAGCATCTCCAGGATGATGCCCAGGGGGTAGTAGAAACGCTCCCGCCACAGGATGATGCGGACCCAGAAGAGCCGTGTGCGCCTGCCCTCAGCAGTAAGACGTCTGTGTCCCACACACTGCACCTGACCCTGGAGGAGGCGGTGGATGGGAACCTGTAGTGGGTCCTTCAGATCAGCCACAAAAATCTTGGTCACAGAGCCGTTGATGGGGATCATGATGCGGGGATCCCATTCATCCATACGGCACACAAATGTCAACTCGTCTCGCTTCCTCCTCATCACGCCCACCACACGACCCTGCAGCCTCCCCGGGGTTCCCCTCTCGCCAGCTGACTGGCCCAGGAGCTGCACCAGTACCTCATCCCCGGAAAAAGCCATCCCACAGTTCAGGCGGCCCCGGATCTGGATGGGGGCGGAGGCCACCTCATCCAGTGGGACAGCCAAAGCTCGCTCGAAGGTCTCTGCCTGGAAGATGCAGCGGCGATAGAGCTGAGGCTCTGAGTGCATCAGCCTCCTCAGTTTGGCTAAGGGCAGGTTCTTGTACTGCCGGGCATGCCGTGGGGATGCTGGTTTGGCCATAGTGTCCAAGAGCCCATCCTCCCTCACAGTCACCATCACCTGCCGGCTCTCATCCAGGAGTTCCTGCAGGATGGCGTCGTCTGCGTTGAGCTCACAGTCAAAGGGCCAGAAGTCAGACTCTGAGTCCTCAGCGTCCTCGGACACCCCGCCCTCTGGGGCGGTTGGCCTTGCTGCCAGGTCTCGCTTTGCTGCATCCGCTCCTGATGCTGCCTTCATCTGTGTCGTGGCTGCTCCCCTTGAGACTGGACTCCCAACAGCTGTGTCCTCTGCCTTTGCCATTACTGCGGTCTTGTTATTCATGGTCCCAGGCCCTGGCAGAAACTTTGCCACGGCTGTGTGCTCTGTGGCTGGGCCCCTGGCTGCCTTGTCCAGGCCAGTGTCTCTGGCTACCGATGCCCAAGTTCTCTCTGCTCTGAGAGCCACTGGGCCCCACTGCTGCCTCTGGGCCACGCCCTGCTCAATCTGTGCCAGGGACAAGCCCTCAGGGAAGACACTGTGGTGCTCCATACACTCGAGAATGAAGCTCTTCCAGAGCTTGCTGCAGGCCCCAAAGGAGCAAAGGGCCATGGCATCGCCTACAGCCACCAGCTGGGATTGGGCTCGGGTCATGACTGTGTTCAACACACGAGCGTCGGTAAAGAACTCCAAGGTGGGCGCCCCAGGGCTGAGCAGGCTGTGGCAGTTGTGCACGGTGCTCAGCACCACCACTCGGAACTCCCGCCCTGCAAGGAGACAAGTGTCAGGCTGCCAGGTAGGCCAGGGAGACAGGCCTCCGCCCCATCCCAACCCTTGCTGGTGCAAGTCCAAAGGGTAGGCCAGGTCAGTTGCTGCTGCTCACCCACCTGGCAGAGTCTCAAAGCTGCCCACAGACACCTCACCCAGGTTCCTCCTCCTCAGCTCCTGCCTCAGTGCACTGACCTAAAGACAACACAGGCCGGGGTACATCAGGATTTGGATGCCTAGTGAGGAGGGGACCTCCCTCCTGCTGAGCCCCGGCTACCCTCAGCCTTCTCATCCTGCTTCCAGTCACATGGGTCAGCCTGGAAGCTAGATACAGAAGCCTCTCTCACAGGTGAAGAAGCTACGGCCGAGGAAGTCAGCTGGCCAGGCTCACCTGGGCACCATGCGAGACAGCACAGATGCTTCTCTGCTCCCGGGCACCCCAGCAGAGGGGCCAGGTGTTGTAGACCTCCTGCACCTTCTCCACAACCTGTGTGACCTCCGCTGGGTTCAGCCAGGATGCCATGGACATGTCTTGCTCGGGGGTGCCTGCCACGTGGCAGAACATGAGTGGGTACTGTCGGGGATGGGGTGGGACCTTGCCACTCGCCTGGATGGGGTTGCCCTTGGCCACGTAGAAATGGCGTGAGATGAAGCCAATGATGGCTGCGGTGGAGCGGTAGTTCTCGTGAAAGATGATTCGGCTCTGCCGGGCCACCTCGTGTGCCTCCTGCTGGTAGTGAAGGAAAAGGCGGTACAGCAGGGTATGCCTGGCGGCCTTGGCCCTGGGCACACTGAAGAGCCTGGGTGTGACCTGCAGATGGTCCCCCGCCAGCACCACGTGGGTGTGTGGTGAGGCATAGGCCAGCGGGGTGAGGGCCTCACACTCCAGCATCTGGGCAGCCTCATCAATGAGGATGTGGGAGAAGAAGCCGGGAGGCACCCGGAGCTCACGGGCCTGCAAAGTGGTGGTGACCACCACACGGTGCCCAGTCAGCTCTGCCTCCGTGGGCGGGCGGAAAGCCCGGAAGTCCTCAGTCAGGCAGCAGTACTGCAGTGTGGTTGGGTCAGTCTGGTTTGGTGGCCGGTCGGTGTACATCACGCGGAGAGGAGCTGCCTCAGGGTGGCCCCTGCTGACATAGCCGTGGAAGTACTCCCTGATGTAGATGTCGGCGGCACTGTGGGAGGGACACGGCATGTGGGCTGCTCGCTCAGCCTTGGCAGTGTCTGCTGAACATCTGCTGTGTGCGCAGACACGTCCAGAGGCCTGGGCACCCGTGAAGTGCAAACAAGTCCTGCCAGCAGAGTGGCAAGATGCATGGCAAAGGAAATGTCAGCGACAGCAAAGAAGACTGAGCAGGAGCAGGTGCACCTGGCAGTCAGGAAAGGCTCAAAGGACGAGGTGCCAGCATGGCTGCCCAGACAGAGTACAGAGGGAAAGGCACTGGCCGTGACCCGAGGCAGCCCAGGTCCCTGCAGGCTGGTGCTGACCCTAAGCGTGGCTCCCAGGCACTCTGTGAGGGCAGCAAGAGCTGCCACCCATCTCTAAGAGAAGAGTCCAAGGGTCAAGAGGCCAGCAGAGAGCTGTGGCATCTTCACAGCAGGCCGTGGCCCCAGCCTGCTGGTCGCTCAGGCACTGCGGAGACCAGCTCGTCCTCTCACCCCGACTCCCAGCTGGGGGAACACCAGCCTGTGCATTGTGGCTGCTCCTCATTTAATCTGGGCAACAACCGCTTGGACTCAAACACACTGGGCCTTACAATACAGCAACGCTAGCAGCGGCACAGCCTCAAGTGGCTTCTTCTATAGGACTGCGCTGTAGTTTCCGATGATTGCACTGTGCAGTACAGAACTGCAGTTTTATGCTGCATGTAAGAGTTATGCAAATAAAAGCGAAGTCATCAAGTTGGAGTTTCCCTTTTATCATGTCTTTGTTCTGAATATTGTAAGAGACATACTATGTACAACTCCTCATTTAGTGACCAGTTTAAGTTAACATCCCAGTTGCAGAACTGAAACTTGGTCATTAAACACAGAATGATTGCATTTGATGTTAGGAAACTAAGAAAATCACACTGGCCGAAGAGGAACTTGTTGGTTGAGAAATCTGAGTTTCTGAAAACATGGAACTAGGAGCACTGCCAAGAAATGCTGGGTGGCCACGCCTCATCCCCATGGACAGCTCTGCCCGTGCTCCAGCACTGCTGGGGAAGTACCTTCGGCCCTCGCCCACACAGCAGAGCTGCTGCCTGAGGGAACGCCCACCCCCTGGGCCTGGGAGACCTCTGGCCAGCTGGCTCTGCGGGTCAGGGAACATGGCCACGGTGGCAGGCCTGGCCACAGCTGTGGGCTCACCTGTTGGTGTGCGTGCAGATGAGCACCTTGGTGTGGGGCTGCCGAACAACCTCCAGCGTGGCCATGGCCAGAGTGTAGGTCTTGCCAGTGCCAAAGGGGCCATAGATGAGCAAAGGGGGGACAGGCTTCGTGCTCTCTGTGCTGCTGCCTGCAATGAGCCCCATAGCCAGCTTCTGCTTGTAGTTGCCACGCAATGAGGGTGGGATGGAACGAGGACAGGGCAGGGCACAGGTGGGCAGGTCGGGCACCACCAGGTGCTCGTCAGGTAACGCATCTACTGCTTGATGCCAGAACCAGAAGCTGAAGGGGTCAATCTGGAACTGAACCTCCAGGATGAGGCTGTCTTCAGCCTTCAGTCCCAGGGCCACACAGCAGTGCACGGGCAGCAGCAGCCACAGTGCCTGCTCTGAGATGGCTCGCTTCTCAAGCCGCACCTCGAACACGGTGTTGTCAGGTGCAGGTACAGGGGCCACAAGGGCTGTGCTGACCTCCCGGCTCAGCAGGAAGCCCTGGTCTGTGTCTGGTGTTAGAGAGGAGGGGACAAGAACCTCAGCATAGAGGGCTCCTGGGGGCGCAAAGAGCATGCCGAGTGCCGGCGTCTGCAGCGAAGTCTTCAGGGACACTTGGCCCCGCAGGGTCAGCCTGGTATACCAGAGAACCTGTGTTAGCACCCTGGACCATGGCCCCAGAGCTGGCCTCTGCCGAGAACCCCAGCCACACCCCCACCTGCCAGCCCTAACTCACTTGGCCACCAGCTGCTGCCGAGCAGCCTGCTCCTCATAGAGGAAGTGGTGCATGCTCTGCCGATAGTTGGTGCGAGAGAGGGGTTCCGTGGCCAGGCTACCGTGACCGACCTCCAGGGCCAGGGTGGGCACCTTGTACTTGGCCATCAGGGCTGCCTGTTCAGCTGTCTGCTCCATACAAGGCACCACATGGCGGTTGCCAGGGTGCCAGTGCTCCAGCTCCTCGGGGCGGCCAGGTGCTGGCGACCTGCGGAGCTCTGAGCAGTGTGCCTGGCCCAGCTGCAGCCCCAGCTTCCGTAGCAGCACTGGTCGACGACCAAAGTCAAAGACCACCCACTGCTCAAAGGTGCCAAAGGAGGTGGTCTGCACTAGCACCCCCACCTGAAACTCTGCTTGGGAGTCGGGCACACGGAAACGCTCTCCGCTTGCATAGAGCCGGCCTGGAGGGAGGCAGCGTGCCACCAGCGAAAAGTCTGCCCCAGGCTCCTGCTTAAGCAAGGCCACATGAAGCAGAGGGTCCTGGGGGATGAGACTGAATGTGAGGTGGGCCCCCCCGTCCCTCTCACCCAGCCTCCTCCCACCCTCCATTTTTTTCTCCCAAATTTTTGTGAAATTCTTTCTGCAGTTTAGGCTGGCCTTGAACTCACTCTGTAGCCCAGGCTGGCCTCCTGCCTCAGCCTTGCAAGTGCTGGGACAACCAGCATGTCCCACCATATCAGGGTCCTCCCGTTCTCCTGAGAAGTGGCTCAGGCCACTTTCTAGGTGAAGGACCCTCAGGTTGCTCAGCCTCTCTGAACCCTGGTTTTCTCTTATGCAAAGTGGTATCACAGAAGCTGCCTGAAGCCCTGTGGATGGAGGTGAAGTGGAGGGCCTCGGCTGTCAGGGCCACACGGTCACCAGCCTCACCCGCTCTGAGGGTAGTAGACCCTGGCAGGTGTTTTCCTCATATTAACCTGCTCCACAGAGCAAGCTGGCTGGGCAGGGACTGCTGCGGTCACTGTCTGCATTGAAGAAACACAGCGGGGAGGCCCCAGACTTGTCCTCCTGTGTCATACAGACTCAGAAGTGGAGCCACACCGTCCGTTCCAGGTCTGGGCTTTCCCTGTCTGCTCAACTGTGTTCCACTCCTATGGGTGCCCCACTTGGCTGGGGCTGACCCCTGTGCCTGAGTCCTCGGGACTGTATGGACCCTACCTCAGAGTGGATTCGGAATACCCAGCTGTGCTGGATCTTCTTCTCCTGAGCCCGGTGCACTAGGGGCTGATGGCAGGTGACAGACACACCATGGACAGTCTCGGACATCTGCACAAAGAAGCTGGCCCTCAGCATAGATGCCCGGGCCCCCTTCCCCACCCACTGTCATGGTTCCTACTTACCACCTGGGCCTCACTGCTGTGCTGGTACTCAGCTAGCAGCCGGGCCCGGTATGGCACCAACCCGTCCTGCCAGGCTGCCTGCTGCCGCAGCTCCATGGCTTGCACCCGCCAGACCCATTCCTGCAGTTCCTGTTCCGAGTGCGCCTGGGTGCAGACATCCCCGTACTCGCAGAGGTCAGGTCTAGAGAGCAACGAAGTGAACAGAGCCGCTTAGGTGCGACCACATGGCAAGATCAAAGGCCAGGGCTCCCTCCCCCCAACCCTGGCCTGTGTGGGGAGTAGGAATGATGTTCTGGCTGGGGGGCTAGGCCCGGTACAGACAGCACTCCCAAAGGACCTTTCTTACCTAGGTCTCCAGAGACTGCTGTGGTGCCACTCTAGCATGCAGCAGGGACGCCGCACAACCAGTAAACCTCCTTAGCCCTGGTGCTGGTCAACGGGGGCGGGGTCTGTCCCAACCCTCCAGGTGCCTACCCAACTGTCCTTACCTTGGGCAAAGCTCAAATTTGGAGAGCCCCATGGGTGGAGCGCGGTGCTTCCAGGGCACAGCCTGGTCAAAGGCCACCATCTGTGCATGCTCCAGGGAGGCACAATGATTCTCGAAGGCCTCCTGAGAACAGCAGGTAAACAGGCAGGTGTAGCAGTACAGCTCTACCTTGGGGGGCTGGCTGCCCCTGGGAGACCGACTGTGGGCGGTTGTGCGCTGGTCTTTCCCCAGGGTAGAAAGTGTATGCAGGGCTTCCCGCTGCAGCCCACCCAGCTGCTCAGCCTCCCACACGGCCATCTCTACAGCACTGTGTGCGAACTTGCAGCGGGCGGCCCCGTGGCGGCATGGCTGCCCACGCTCCACAAACATGCAGTAGCGCAGCGGTGGGCTGTTCTGGGGCTTTGGCCGCACTTCGGTGAACTGGCGCTTGCAGTCCTTGGTGCTGACATGGACCAGGAGTGTGGCACAGGTTCCATGCCTAGGGCACTGTCCCTGGGGGTCCACAGGGCGAAGACGCTGGGGGCGGTCCCTGAAGCAGTGGGCACAGAGCAGCTGAAAGTAGCCACCAAACTCCGAGAGGATGGTATCGGCAGCCCCGTGTAGACCATGCTGGGGGTCATCGCCCTTCACTGCAGTCTTCAGCCACAGGCGGGAGACACTGTGCTTGAGCTCAAAGGTCCAAACCAGAGCCTCCTCGGGGCTGCGGGCAAAGGTGCACCTGTTTCGGTGGTACCGGCAGCCCAGCCCAGGGCTGTAGTAGCGACATACTTTGTATCGCCAAGGTCTCGGGAAGCAGGGCCGGTGGCCCACCTCCCGCCAGACCTTTCTCTTGGCAGCTCGCTTGAAGCGAGCCAGAAGGATCTCACAGGAGCAGCTGTGCTCCACCTCACACAGGACATAGGTGCTCTCATTGAGGCGCCGGGTGCAGTCTGAACAGCCCAGACAGAGGTCCACTTGGGTGAAGAGCCAGGCAAGAGGCGGCCCCCTGGTGGCCAAGGGGCTAGTGGACGATGACATGCCACACCCCAAGGATGCCATCTCTGATGCTGGTCAGGCTTTCCAGGGTGGTGTTCAAGACTCCTGGGCTCTGCCAGTCCACGGGGACCACAGGCCACAGTGACACATCTGGAACAGGAAACACAGACTGGGTAGAGGTCAAGCAAGACACCTACATGTCCTCTCCCAGGCAGAGAGGGGAAATTCTGCCCAACCCAATGCCAAGGAGTGGACTGCTGGGCAGCAGTCTTGACCTGTCCTGGACCCATCAAGCCTCCTCCCTTCTTAAGTGTCTCTAGACTCTTCCTAGAAGGAGCAGATGTGGCAGCAATAGGTGGAAACGAGAAGGGTGCTGAAGCCACAGAAAATGCCCCTGGGCTATGTCTCTGGGCCCAGTGAGATCTACAGTGCTGGGCACCCCAGGTCTCCCAGCTCTTGTAAAGACAAAGCCTCTGGCTGGGAACATAGCTCTGCTGCCTGGCAGGCACAAGGTCGTGAGTTCAATTACCTGTACCAAACAAAACAAAATAAAATAAAATAAAGACAGAGCCTCTCTGGATGAAGGTATCCTACCTGCACTTGGCAGCAGTGGCCCAGGAAGGAGAGGTCACTGTCCAGGACTTGGTACATGGGACAGTTGATATTAGAGGTCCTCCAGATATGCAGGGAGAGGGGACACCCAGGGCCCAGGGTCTTAGCTGGTTGTCACCCCAGCCCAGTGGGGGAAGAAAGAGCCCTTAAACACACTGTTGGTCAGGTCTAAGGGGAAATGTCAAGGGAAACTTTGGGAGATTCAGAAATGGTCTTTTAAAGGAAATGACCAGGGGCAACCAGAGTCTGAGGACTCACCTGCACCCCAAGTGGAAACTTCAGAGTCCAGAGAAAGTCTGCACGGCCAGGCAGCCGGGGCCAGCAGGAGAAACAAGAGCAGCTTGGGCTGCACTGCTGGGGAAGCAGGGATGCCGGGCCCTCAGCGCAGCTCACCCAGCGTGACCGCGCACGGACATCTGTGGGTCCCCGGCTTCCCAGGTTGCAGGGTAGAGCCCCGCTCCTCTCCCCTCCCCAAACAGGCCCCCCCACCGCCGGAGGCTCACCCTACGCATACAGGCACTGGTCAGAGCAGAGATCACTTTCGATTCTGCCCCTGGGGTGACTCAAACCTCTGACGCCTGATCGCGGAAATTACCTCACTGCCCCCTGCCCCGCCCCCAGCACCGCCCTCAAGTGATAGTTCCTTCCCTGCCCTGGAGTGCTGCAGACTGCGGGGAGGAGACCCCAAGTTCCCCAGGGTCAGCCCCGTGCAGGATGTGAACCAGCCCTTCCTCGGCTCCCCGCCCCACACGCTGACGCTCCCTCTGCCCTCCTACTGTAGCTTCAGGTGCGGGGGAGGAGCAGAGGCAGCCCTCTGCTGATGGCTAACAGTACCGTGCCCATTTGGGGTCAGCATGCTCCTAGCAAGGGAAAATGGCACTCTCCGCGCAATCAGCGAACCCAGGCAGGAGAGGGGCCAAGCACCTGTGCTGAGGGGGACCCGTTCCTAAAAGGTGCCAGCCCAATTATTGTCCTAGACACATAATAATTATAGCCAACCCCTCAACCTGACAGATATTCAGAACTTGCCAACGTAGAATGAGAAAGAGAAAGGGCAGGAAGAGCTGGGAGTGTTTTGTAATCTCACTTGAGTTGTGCCTGACCTCTTGACCTCATTGGGGAAGTGCTGCCAACAAGCTCAGGCACTGCAGTCACCCCAAAGGCTGAGCTGACTGCGAAGTATCCCATTCCAGGCTGAGCCCGGACATCTCAGCCTCATTGGTCCTGGCCTCATTCATGACCGAGGTCCCCCTTGTAGCCAAGGAGAAAATGTAGGAATTTTCAGGAATCACAAAAGAGTTTTCTCCTGGCTCTCTTGGACCAGTTGCGCTGGGGGACACTCAAGGGTCACTTCCCCTGGCCCCACGGGGAGGTTATGTCAGGAGGGACTGAGGTGCCTGTCAACCCCCAGCCCCAGATGAACTACCAGTCAGCAGCCTGATTGCAAGCTCAGGAGAGATGCCTGCTGAGCAGAGGCAGCAGAGGAGCAGAGGCAGCCCTCTGCTGATAGCTAACAGTACCGTGCCCATTTGGGGTCAGCATGCTCCTAGCAAGGGAAAATGGCACTGTTAATGTGTGATCCTAGATTTTCATTGTTGTTTTAAGCACTAAGTTTTGGGTGACTTGTTACACAGCAATACTTAATGAATGCATCATCAGGATCCCTCAAACAACGACAAATATCCCTTACCAAAGCCAGCCTCCTGCTGTAACAAGCACAGTGGAAGTGTCCCACATAAGTCAGGAAGCTGGCTGGGAGCCTTGAAACAGGGTAAGAGGACGAGACAGACATTCCATAAAGAGAAGCAGCAGTAAGAGATAGAGGCAAGGTTATAAGAAACCTGGAAAATGCCCTAGAGACACAGCAGAATGCCACTTTGGGGCATTCTAGAAAGTGTGGAATACTATAGTCTTTGATAGAGAGATTCTAAGATGTCAGTTCTTCTTAAATTTGTCTACCAGTCTAGCACCAAGAGGATGGGGGGCAGGTGAGACATGTTTGGAAAAGCATCCCATAAATGAGAACAGGCAGATGTGATGGGTCAGATCCAAAGTGCCCCGTGGTATCTCATGTGTTCAGAGGTGGGGCTTCAAGCAGGTGCTGTCCTTGGTGATGGGTCGACATAGCTGAACAGGCCTCAGAGGTTGGGTCTCGTTGGAAGAAGTAGGCCCTGGGCACGACCTTTATTGGCTTAAACATCCCGCCACCCCCACCCCCACCGCCACACCCCACTTTCTGGCTGCCACGTGGTGAGTAGCTCTTTCTCATCACGCCCTTCCCATGTCTTTTCTGCCGCAGAGCCAGCCAACCAGGGCTCAAAATCTCTGAAACTGGGAGTCAAAATAGAGCCTTCCTCCTCTAAGTTGTATATGTCAGGTATTTTGTTCCAGCAACGGAAAGGTGACTAATGCAGCAGGAAAACCACTAGAAAGAAGAGTAAAAGGGTATCAGACTTGTGAAATACTAAACTCACCATAAAGCACATGGCATACTACCGTACAAGCAGGACCGGGCAGGAGTGGAGCACCCAGAGACCAAGAGCAGGAGTCCACAAGAGTCCGCCGGGTGACAGGGCCAGCATTTCAGACCACGGGGGAAAGGTAGCTTGCTCAGCGTGGCCCGTTAACAACCACAGGCAGCCCAAAACAAAAGTCATGGAGCAGAGAAGTACTCTATCGATACTGTGCATCAAAATTAATGACAGATGGATCAGATTTAAGTAGAAAACCTCCTACAACTACTACATAGGCCCCAGGAGAAGCTGAGGCAGACTGTGTCTGTTTAGTTCCCTCAGAAGGAAAGAGGCAGCCTCCCTAGCCAGACCCACATGCCCACCTCCTACCTACTCAGTGCAGGGCTCAGTTGGTGGTTAGAAATACGCCACAAGGGGCACCAGAGACCTTTTTTTCCCCTTCTCAGAGTTAAGCATGTATTAGCATACCACCAATAAATTGAGCCACATAAAAATAAAATAGTTTTAGGGCCGGGGGTTTAGCTCAGCGGCTCAAGTGCCTGCCTGGTAAGTGCAAGGTCATGAGTTTGATCCCCAGGACCTAAATAAATAATAGATAATTTTAAATAGTGACCAAAACTTACCATCAATAAAGCCAGAAGATATGCACAAACTAGAAAAATTTGTAGCTGTTTCATTTTGCTTTGTTTTGTTTTCTGAGACAAAAATCTCTCTATACAGTTCAGGCTGGACTTGAACTCACTATGTAGCCTATACTAGTCTTGAACTCAAGGCGATCCTCCTGCCTTAGCCTCTCAAATGCTGGAATTACAGGTATGTGCCACCATGCCCAGCATGTAGCTCATGTTGTAGGTAAAAACCTTTTAATCTTTAGTATAGCATGCATCCTATTTTTATTTATTTATTTATTTATTTTATCAGTACGAGGGATCAAATTCATGACCACACACTTGCAAGGCAGGCGCTTATGCCACTGAGCTAAATCCCCAGCCTCAATGCATTCTATTTTATTATTTTACTTTTTGTAGACATATCTATTTTTATTCCAAGAGGCATTTGATTCTCTGTCAATCAATTTTTTTCAAACAAAATCTCTATATGAGGATATATTTTAAATATCCTGCTAAGTCAGAAAAAGATTTATAATCTAAGAAAAATAGGAAAACACATGAATCAATATATTGGACATCCATGCTGGGGATTTAGCTCAGTGACACAGTGCCTGCCTGGCAAGTGCAAGGTCTTAAGTTCCATTCCTGGTACAAAAAAAAACCAAACAGCCATAAAGAAACAAACAAAAAAGGAACATGCTAGGAATCCCATGGGTATGCACCACTATGTCTGGTTTGGATCTTAATTTTGAGCTGGACATGATGGCACATGCCTGTAATCTCAGCATTCGGGAGGCTGAGGCAGGAGGATAGTTGCAAGTTTGAGACCAGCCTGAGCTACAAAGTGAGCTCAAGGCCAGCCTGAACTGCATACAGAAATCCTGTCTCTAAAAGATTTTTTAAAATCCACACTACACATCCAAAAGAAAATAATAGAAATTGCTCCAAATGTGGGGAAAGGTTCAACTTTGGCACAAGGAAGACAGATTAGAACACCAGGAAGATCCTCTCCGTCCTCGAGACAGGGCTCCACCGTACTCCTGTGACGGACGCCACCTCCTAGGATCCTGTGTCACAGCAAACAGCATCCACCAGTGTGTGTGGCAGCTCTCTTTCCTGAGATAGCCCTGACCTCCGTGCTCAGCACTTGACCCAGTTACCTCTCTAGTACCCTCACTTCCCATGTGGGGAATACTCTGAAGCTACTAAAAAGGAAGCACATTCCTGTAATCCCAGCACTCCGGGAAGCTGAGGGGGATGACAAGTTCAAGGCTAGCTTAAGCAAGTTAGTGACTTCAACAGAACCTGTCTCAAAATTACAATAAATAAAAGGACTGGGATGTAGCTCCCAGGGCAGAGCAACCCTGGGTTTGTCTCCAGTACCACAAAACGTGGGGGATGTTCTGGAGATTTTTTCCAAGATACTTTGCATAAGAAGAAAATCCACCTCAGGGGCCGTGGGTTTAGCTCAGTGGCATAAGCGCCTGCCTGCAATAGCAAGGTCATGAGTTCAATCCCTGGTACCACCCCACAAAAAAGAAAATATACCTCAAATACAAAAGTAATTTTAAAATATAAAAAGTACAGAAATCAGAAGTCAACTGTGTGTCTGGAGCAAGCGGGAGACTTGCTCCTTGCTCAGCTTTGCACATTTGCTTTCTATCTTGAGTGTATGTCCTTACTCAAGTGGAAATGACAAGCAATCTCACTACCTCAGGTACAAATCCCTCAGCCTCTGCACAGGACCTGCAGGTTGCGGCAGGCAGTTCTCTGGCTTCTGCTCCGCTCAAGCCTGGGGGCTGGTCCTCATTCTCTGGCCTCCCCGATCGATCCTGCTGACCTTGCTGCCTGCCTTCTGGAGCCCAGACTCCTCCTGGCCCCTGTTTCTCACGACCACTCAGCATCAGCAGCGAATTCCACTGTCACGGTGGGGTTTCACACACCTGGCCCAAGTTGCATTCCTCTTCTTCTCCAGCAGCTTCCCACCCCAATAAAGTACACCCCACCTTCCGGGAACCCAGGCCTTGAGATCCTGTCTTGAGGGAAAAAAAGACAAGTATAAATGCAGCTCAGTGGCAGCGTACTTTCCTAGCATGTCTGAGGTCCTGAGCTTACCCTGGGCCAAGAATGGTACACACGTGCACAG